TATTTGGAGCATTCGACCAATCACAAACATGGACAAGCGTACTGACAGCGCAGCGTCATACTTCCTGAATGAAAAGTGAACTTTAATATTAGTCAAATATGAAGAAGTTAAACTTTAAACATCCATGACTTAAACACTTTATCCAGGATAAAAGCCACATAGCTGCACCTGCAAGGTGAATACAGCTGGTAACAGAGAAAGTGTTTGAATGCGTACATTAACAGGTTTATGATATCACTGCCCCGTCCAAGACACGATCTGACTTTCATTACATTTGACTCGAGTGTTTCGTCAACTTAATGTGTTGCTTAAAATAATACTTCTGCATACAGTATGTGACACTGAGAGTGTTGCACGGCCAGATACGGCTCAGCTGACTCAGATAAGGAGATATATGATACATTATGATGTGATATGATATGAATGATAATGGGACAACATCGACGTCTGCACTCACAGTGCCGCGGACTGTACGTAATGTTACTCTGATCCGGTTACTTATGTTGTGGCAGATATTTAAGTAAGCTTTCTTAACGCTAATGTTATAATAGTCAGATTGCTCTGAAGATGGGATGGGGGTATTCTATTTAATGTTCACGTTCACACAGTCAGGTGATTTTTTTGCCGGCCGTCCTTTCCCTGCAACGGCAGTTTTTCTGTATTTCCTCTATCCTGTAATATGACTTGATATCTTTAAACTCTGCACACGGAGCTCTGATTGGTCAGCAGGCGGTGCTTTCACTGAGTTGATCTCTTAGCCTGCAACCTAACCTGCTCCCGAGCAGGTTAGCCGCTCAGCATAAGTTACCATGGAGATCTAGCCTGCTAAAAAGAGAACCAGCGTCGTAGGACACGGAAAGCCAGAGTTTACCCTGAAGTTAGCTAAGAGAACATCCGGCTTCGTAGTACAGGCCTCTGGAGGACACACCTTCACTCGGGTTGAGCTTTAGACCAGATGCAAGTATTTACTGTGGTGTGTGTGTGTGTGTGTGTGTGGTGTGTGTGTGTGTGTGTGGTGTGTGTGTGTGGTGTGTGGTGTTGTTGGGTGTGATGTGTTGTGTGTGGTTGTTGTTTGGTGTGTGTGGGTGTGTGTGTGTGTGTGTGTGTGGGTGTGTGTGTGTGGTGTGTTGTGTGGTGTTGGTGTGTGTGTGTGTGTGTGTGTGTGTGTGTGTGTGTGTGGGTGTGTTTGTGTGGTGTGTGTGTGTGGTGTGTGTTGGGTGTGTGTGTGTGTGTTGTGTGTGTGTGTGTGTGTGTGTGTGTGTGTGTGTGTGTGTGTGGGTGTGTGTGTGTGCATACACCCACCTGTACCTGTCAGGTGTTTGACCCCGAGGCGAGTCAGAGGAAGGTGTTCGAGGGCTCGGTCCGAGGTCTGGTGCGGGACGTTCTGATTGGAGGAAACTGTCTGGTCTTCACCTACGGAGTCACCAACGCTGGGAAGACCTTCACCTTCCTGGGTCAGAAAAACACCGGAACATCTTGTTTTACTCACAGGCAACACCACCTTTCTCCTTAGTGAGCTCCTCCCGGGACACCTGGTGGTCACCTGTAGAACACCTCGTGCTCAGGACACCTGGTGGTCACTGTAGAACACCTCGTGCTTCAGGGACACCTGGTGGGTCACCTGTAGAACCCTCGTGCTGCACAGCAGTGTGCTTCAGGGACACCTGGTGTCACCTGTAGAAACACCTCGTGCTTCAGGGACCACCTGGTGGTCACCGTAGAACACCTCGGCTTCAGGGACCACCTGGTGGTCACCTGTAGAACACCTCGTGCTTCAGGGACACCTGGTGGTCACCTGTAGAACACCTCGTGCTGCACAGCAGTGTGCTTCAGGGACACCTGGTGGTCACCTGTAGAACACCTCGTGCTTCAGGGACACCTGGTGGTCACCTGTAGAACACCTCGTGCTGCACAGCAGTGTGCTTCAGGGACACCTGGTGGTCACCTGTAGAACACCTCGTGCTTCAGGGACACCTGGTGGTCACCTGTAGAACACCTCGTGCTTCAGGGACACCTGGTGGTCACCTGTAGAACACCTCGTGCTTCAGGGACACCTGGTGGTCACCTGTAGAACACCTCGTGCTTCAGGGTCACCTGGTGGTCACCTGTAGAACACCTCGTGCTTCAGGGACACCTGGTGGTCACCTGTAGAACACCTCGTGCTTCAGGGACACCTGGTGGTCACCTGTAGAACACCTCGTGCTTCAGGGACACCTGGTGGTCACCTGTAGAACACCTCGTGCTTCAGGGACACCTGGTGGTCACCTGTAGAACACCTCGTGCTTCAGGGACACCTGGTGGTCACCTGTAGAACACCTCGTGCTTCAGGGACACCTGGTGGTCACCTGTAGAACACCTCGTGCTTCAGGGACACCTGGTGGTCACCTGTAGAACACCTCGTTCTTCAGGGACACCTGGTGGTCACCTGTAGAACACCTCGTGCTGCACAGCAGGGTGCTCAGGGGCTGTAGTTTGTGTTCGCTGCAGGAGGAAGCAGCCTTCCAGTCTTTTGACATGTTCTCTTTCCCCCCGTGCGCCTCAGGTCCGGGAGCACGACTCAGGTCTGCTGCCTCGCTCTCTGTCTGTGATCTTCAACAGCATCGAGGGGCGGGTCTACCCCCGCAGCGACCTGAAGCCTCAGCGCTGCAGAGACTTCACCCGCCTGACGACCGAGCAGCAGGCGGCCGAGAGCAGCAGCAAGAGGAGCCTGCTGAGGCTGCTCAAAAGAGGGGTACTAATACTGCTCATACTGTGTACTAATACTACTCATACTGTGTACTAATACGCTCATACTGTGTACTAATACTGCTCATACTGTGTACTAATAGTACTGATACTGCAGCAGCAAGTGGAACCTGATGAGGCTGTTTTAAGAGGTAGTAATACTACTGCCGTGTACTAATATGTACTATCAGTTACTGCTGTGTACTAATATGTGCTATCAGTTACTGCCGTGTACTAATATGTGCTATCAGTTACTGCCGTGTACTAATATGTGCTATCAGTTACTGCCGTGTACTAATATGTGCTATCAGTTACTGCCGTGTACTAATATGTGCTATCAGTTACTGCCGTGTACTAATATGTGCTATCAGTTACTGCCGTGTACTAATATGTGCTATCAGTTACTGCCGTGTACTAATATGTGCTATCAGTTATGCCGTGTACTAGTGTTGTTGTCCCTCTCCGTCTCTGCAGAGGAACAGGAGTCAGACGTCTGGAAGATCAACTTTCCTCGATGGTCAGTAACTCTGGGAAACCTGAGCACATGTTTGTAGGGCCATATATCCTGTGTGTGGTGTGTGGTGTGTGTGTGTGTGTGTGTGTGTGTGTGTGTGTGTGTGTGTGTGTGTGTGTGTGTGTGTGGTGTGTGTGTGTGTGTGGTGTGGGTGTGTGTTGTGTGTGTGTGTGTGTGTGTGTGTGTGTGTTGTTGTGTGTGTGGTGGTGTGGGTGTGGGTGTGTGTGGGTGTGTGTGGTGTGGGGTGTGTGTGTGGTGTGTGTGTGGTGTGTGTGTGTGTGTGTTGTGTGGTGTGTTGTGTGGGGGTGTGATGGTGGTGTGTGTGTGTGTGTGTGTATAACTGTGTGTGTGTGTGTGTGTGTGTGTGTCTCTCAGGCTCCTCTCTCAGCACAGACAGCAGCGTCTCTGAGGACAGCTTCTGTCTCGACGTGGACTCCAACGTCAGGTTCTCCGTCTGGGTCTCTTTCTGCGAAATCTACAACGACAACATCCACGACCTGCTGGAACAGGTAACACGCACACACGCACACGCACACGCACACACACACACGACAACAGTTAAAGATGTCTGACGGTCATGTGGCGTTCAGGTCCCCAGCGGACAGCAGAGGAGGACGGTGCTGCGCCTCTCCCAGGACGTCAAGGGGAACTCCTTCATCAAAGGTGATTACATTTAATAAACTCTACAGGTAACCTCTACAGGTAACCTCTACAGGTAACCTCTACAGGTAACCTCTACAAGTAAACTCTACAGGTAAACTCTACAGGTAAACTCTACAGGTAAACTCTACAGGTAACCTCTACAGGTAACCTCTACAGGTAAACTCTACAGGTAAACTCTACAGGTAACCTCTACAGGTAAACTCTACAGTAAATCTCTATCAGGTAACCTCTACAGGTAAACTCTACAGGTAACCTCGAAGGGTAACCTCTACAGGTAAACTCTACAGGTAACCTCTACAGGTAACCTCTACAGGTAAACTCTACAGGTAACCTCTACAGGTAACCTCTACAGGTAAACTCTACAGGTAACCTCTACAGGTAAACTCTACAGGTAAACTCTACAGGTAACCTCTACAGGTAAACTCTACAGGTAACCTCTACAGGTAACCTCTACAGGTAAACTCTACAGGTAACCTCTACAGGTAACCTCTACAGGTAACCTCTACAGGTAACCTCTACAGGTAACCTCTACAGGTAAACTCTACAGGTAACCTCTACAGGTAACCTCTACAGGTAAAGCACCCATCTGTTTGCAAACATGACTAAAAAAGCCTTAAATCTTGAAAGATAATGAGATTTCTAACCAGACATTACTTGAATGCCAGAGATCAGATCAGAGGTTATCTTCCTGTCACATCTCTCACGGTTTGTGTTGTTTGTGTTGTGCTGCATTTCAAACTGAAGCCCCCCCCTCTGTGTGCAGACCTGCGCTGGGTGCAGGCGAGCAGCTCCGAGGAGGCGTACAGAGTGATGAAGATCGGGAGGAAGAACCAGAGTTGCTCCTCCACGCGCCTCAACAGTCTGTCCAGCAGGAGGTGCTCAAACATCCCTTATTCTCATTATACAGGTAGAGGAGTAGAGCTGCTCCTTTTGTAACGTGCCATCAAGAGACGTCCAGGAGAAGACAACAAGCACTCACACTTCAACATGCAGAGGAAGTCAGAGTGCAGGAAACCGATATATTCCTGCACTCTGACTTTAATGGAACGAGCAGCGTAGTAAGCAGACTCTAAACTCTAGATACACCTCTGAGTTGATTTTAGAAAGTGAAGGGGTGCGCTGGATTTATGGCACCGGAAAGAAGTCACATTTTGAGAAAAGTCTTAAATGTAATTTTGCGAGAATTTTGAAAAAAGTTTTTTAAAAAAGAAAAACTCTGGAAAACATTTCATTTTCAGAAAAGTATGAAAAAATGTTGAAATGTCCAATTTTTTGAAAAAAGTAAACAATTCAGAAATTATAGGAACATTTTTTGATTTTGAGAGAATTCTGTGAAAAGTATTTTTTTTTAGAAATGTCAAATCTTTTGAACATTTTAAAATAAAGTCACATTTTGAGAAAATTCTGAAAAGAAATCTAATTTGGAGAAATTCTGAAAAACATAACATTTGGACATACTCCTGTACGTTGTTGTTATTAGTATGTAACGATCAACTATCAAAAATAGCTGCTAAACGCACAAGGGGTTCTTTATGAAATCAGATATTAAAGGTAAACAGACCTGATCATCTGCACACTTCAGCCTATATGCACACTTCAGCCTATATGCACTTCAGCCTATATGCACACTTCAGCCTATATGCACACTTCAGCCTATATGCACTTCAGCCTATATGCACTTCAGCCTATATGCACACTTCAGCCTATATGCACTTCAGCCTATATGCACTTCAGCTATATGCACACTTCAGCCTATATGCACACTTCAGCCTATATGCACACTTCAGCCTATATGCACTTCAGCCTATATGCCACTTCAGCCTATATGCACTTCAGCCTATATGCACCTTCAGCCTATATGCACTTAGCCTATATGCACACTTCAGCCTATATGCACACTTCAGCCTATATGCACACTTCAGCCTATATGCACACTTCAGCCTATATGCACACTTCAGCCTATATGCACTTCAGCCTATATGCACTTCAGCCTATATGCACACTTCAGCCTATATGCACACTTCAGCCTATATGCACTTCAGCCTATATGCACACTTCAGCCTATATGCACACTTCAGCCTATATGCACTTCAGCCTATATGCACACTTCCAGCCTATATGCACACTTCAGCCTATATGCACTCCTATATGCACACTTCAGCCTATATGCACACTTCAGCCTATATGCACTTCAGCCTATATGCACACTTCAGCCTATATGCACACTTCAGCCTATATGCACACTTCAGCCTATATGCACTTCAGCCTATATGCACTTCAGCCTATATGCACTTCAGCCTATATGCACACTTCAGCCTATATGCACACTTCAGCCTATATGCACACTTCAGCCTATATGCACTTCAGCCTATATGCACTTCAGCCTATATGCACACTTCAGCCTATATGCACTTCAGCCTATATGCACACTTCAGCCTATATGCACACTTCAGCCTATATGCACACTTCAGCCTATATGCACTTCAGCCTATATGCACTTCAGCCTATATGCACACTTCAGCCTATATGCACTTCAGCCTATATGCACTTCAGCCTATATGCACTTCAGCCTATATGCACACTTCAGCCTATATGCACTTCAGCCTATATGCACTTCAGCCTATATGCACTTCAGCCTATATATGCACTTCAGCCTATATGCACTTCAGCCTATATGCACTTCAAGCCTATATGCACTTCAGCCTATATGCACACTCAGCCTATATGCACACTTCAGCCTAGATCACACTTCAGCCTAATGCACACTTCAGCCTATATGCACACTTCAGGCCTATATGCACCTTCAGCCTAGATGCACACTTCAGCCTAGATGCACACTTCAGCCTAGATGCACACTTCAGCCTATATGCACACCTCAGCCTATATGCACTTCAGCCTATATGCACTTCAGCCTATATGCACTTCAGCCTATATGCACTTCAGCCTATATGCACACTTCAGCCTATATGCACTTCAGCCTATATGCACTTCAGCCTATATGCACTTCAGCCTATATGCACTTCAGCCTATATGCACTTCAGCCTATATGCACTTCAGCCTATATGCACTCTCAGCCTATATGCACTTCAGCCTATATGCACTTCAGCCTATATGCACTTCAGCCTATATGCACTTCAGCCTATATGCACACTTCAGCCTATATGCACTTCAGCCTATATGCACTTCAGCCTATATGCACACTTCAGCCTATATGCACTTCAGCCTATATGCACTTCAGCCTATATGCACACTTCAGCCTATATGCACACTTCAGCCTATATGCACACTTCAGCCTATATGCACACTTCAGCCTAGATGCACACTTCAGCCTAGATGCACACTTCACGACGTAAACAAAGACAGGTTTTATACGTTATTCAATTATATTCTCAAAACTCAACAAAGAGTCCGCTCGGCGATAAACCGAAATGGTCTTTCCGGCCTAACCCAGGCCGCTATAGTTCATTGACAAAACAAACTTGCTCCTGCGCCCGTCGGCAGCCAAACACCGGAAATGTTTGTAGGCCTATTTAGGCTCTAATCCCTAACTCGATGATCGGCGTGGCACAAAGGATCTCACCCTCTCTGTGCGCGTCCTCTCCGCGGAGACGTGCTTCTTGGTCGGATCGATGCAATATCCACATTCAGTTATTTTCCCCGTTGCATTTTAACGTACAGAAACACATGCTGAGGAAAACTTAAATACCCGCATTCGCCACACTCACACACACTTCCTCCTCCCGTGAGAACCAACCCCTGGCATCCCGTTGACGCGCCCACTAAAAAGGCCCCGGCGCGCTGCGACAGGTGAATATGGAGATGAGGCTTAAAGACCCCCACCCTCACACCGAACAGAACAGGACATTAAGAACTGCAGTTGCGAGGATATTATACAGGTATCATAGTTCATGATAATCAACATGCCTTTTCCCCTGCCACTGCAGTTTAGAGAAAACACCTGAAATCAATGTGTGGCCGTCACGTTAATAATAACCAGGTGTTGTGTGTCGTCCTGCAGCCACAGCATCTTCTCCATCAGAATCCTGCGCATCGAAGACGCCGGCGTTCCCAGAATCCTCGGGATCAGCGAGTAAGAAAACATTAACAGATTAAAGGATTCATGTGAGTGAGTGAGAGAGTGAGAGAGTGAGAGAGTGAGAGAGTGAGAGAGTGGAGTGAGTGAGTGAGTGAGTGAGTGAGTGAGTGAGTGAGTGAGTGAGTGGTGAGTGAGTGAGTGAGTGAGTGAGTGAGTGAGTGAGTGAGTGAGCGAGCGAGCGAGCGAGCGAGCGAGCGTGCTTTTGTTCAGGACATCAGTATAAAGCACAGAAAACAATGTATCTCTGTGTATATTATTAATAATATATATCTGTGTGTTTCAGGCTGTCTCTGTGTGACCTGGCCGGCTCTGAGCGTTGCTCCCGGACTCAGAACAGCGGGGAGCGTCTGAAGGAGGCGGAAACATCAACACCTCTCTGCTCACGCTGGGGAAATGCATCAGCGCCATGAGGGTCAACCAGCACGCCAAGTACACACCACACACACACACACACACAGCGCCATGAGGGTCAACCAGCACACCACACACACACACACACACACACAGCGCCATGAGGGTCAACCAGCATGCCAAGTACACACCACACACACACACACACACACAGCGCCATGAGGGTCAACCAGCACACCACACACACACACACACACACACAGCGCCATGAGGGTCAACCAGCACGCCAAGTACACACCACACACCACACACACTCACAGTAATTGATGAGAGTAATGATGAACTGGTGTATTTGTTTCAGGATCCAGCACCACGTTCCCTTCAGGGAGTCGAAGCTGACTCACTTCCTGCAGTTCTTCTTCTGTGGTGCCGGACGCGTCTCCATGGTGGGTGAACATCAGCAGGAACTCTGCGTGTTTCGACGAGACGCTGAACGTCCTCCAAGTTCTCCGCTCTCGCCCAAAGGTCAGATATCAACTCATTTCTAGATGATGTTATAAGATCAAAACAAAAAGTCAGCATTTTGAAAGGAAAAAAAGTAAAATTCCGAGTACGGTTAAAACTTAAAAAAAATAAGGAAAGGTGAACATTTTGAAAAAAGTTTTAAAAAATTGAAAAAGTCACATTTGGAGAAAGATCTGAAAAAAGTCCACATTTTAGAAAATTCTGAAAAAAGCTAATTTGGAGAAAACTTACATTTCTGTACAAATTGAGAAATCTGAGAAAGTTTAAACCAGAAAGTAGACATATCTGAACTCCCAGGGGTCCGATGTTTCAGGTCTTATCATGGCTGTCGATAGATGTCTGGCCTTCGATGAGCGTCCTGTCGCCCTACTCAGATTGGTGTGTCCCGCCCCGTCGTGTCTTTTCGGCCGCGGAGCCTGCGGAGGCTGTCGGCAAAAGAAATCACTCTGATTGGCTGTTCAGCTTAGCGAAACACTATTTGCCTGAATGGGAGTGGAGCAGTACAGTACTTAAGTAAATGATAGACCAATAATAATGCTACGGCTGCAACTGACAGTTATGTAGGCACATTTTTATTTCATCTTAACGCTGTGTGATTAAAAGAATAAACCCAAATAGCAGGAGAGGCTATATGTGCTATATCTTGCCCCACTGAAAAGGCTCTGCACCGATCCTGTTAACACCTTGGCTCATCTCTGTGCTGCTTGGCTCGAGCTGTAGCATGGAGCTATTTGTTGTTTGTATATATCACGCAGTCTGTCTTCTGGTTGCCTCTTTTGAATGACGAATACACACTACCGCCGCCTGCTGGTAAGGAGAGGTATTGCCACATGCGCAGTGCGTACGTGCTTCTTGGCCGTCGGCTGAAGTCTTTGCGGTGTGTTCCAGTGCGACTGTTTGGCCAAGACGCAGAGACGTGAGGCGACACAACAGTCGTGTCCGTCGGACGTGTTCTTTGGTGTCAGTCTGGTGTGTCAGGGCCTTTAGTTGTTTCTCTGGTAGGAAACCCTCAGGACTAAAAGCACCAGAGACAGTTTCCTCCCACAGGCCATCAGACTGTTAAACCATGGATGTATAATAAGAACTGGATACAGCGTGGGAGGCGGGGCCTCATTAATTCCTTTGAGAGTTGCTCATTGGCGCATGAAGACAAACTTGCCGGGCGGCGCGGTCCCGTGGGTTAGATCCGCGTTCATAATGCAGAGGGAAATAACTCTCAGAATAACGTTATTAGCACATTTTTACAACTTGAGGAACGAATGTTTTTAATAAGGGCTATACAAGTGTTCATACTGGGTAGTTTATTTAGTTTAAAAAAAAAAATCCAACGATTTACAGACGTCTCTTTCCCCATGTTAGTCAATGGGAGAAAGTGTTTCTGGGCCCAGCGACTGATACGGAAGTGTAGTACCGCCATTTGGCAACAACGAATATTTTCCTCAGTCCGGCGCACTTCCTGGGGGCTCGTGTTGAACACCCTCCTCTCTCTCTACAGGTGGTGCTGCTGAGCTCCAGGCCGCTGCCGGTGGACGGCGCCCCCCACAGGTCGGCTCTGGAAGTGTCTCTGATCATGGATGAGGCGGAGCAGCGCAGGACGAAGAGGAAGAGCTCAATGGTGGCCTGGGAGACGAGTCTGGAGGACGTGATGGAGGACGGGGGAGAGGAGGAAGACGAGGAGGAAGAAGAAGAGGAGGAAGAGGAGGAGAGTCCCATGGAGGGAACCGTGCTGGAGGCCGAAGACGAGGAAGAGGAGGAGAGTCCCATGGAGGGAACCGTGCTGGAGGCCGAAGCAGAGGAAGAGGAGGGGGGCGGGACCATATTCTATTCCAATGTAAATACTGCTTTATTTTTTTGTACCTGGTTGTAAAGCTGGTTCTGACTGTTCAGGTTTCAGATCAGATGAACGTTATTGATCCTCTTGGTGAAACTCAGCCGTTGATCGCAGCAACAGGTCGGAGTTAAAAACAGGACGAGGTGAAAATAAATACAAAATAGAATTAAAATAAAGTAACTTTTAATCATCAAACGCACGGCAGCTACAGTCTGAAGACCCCGGCTCCTCCAACAATGATGTGTGTGTGTGTGTGTGTATAATATGTGTGTGTCTGTTTACTTGGTGTGCTGGTTGACTCATGGCAATGTGTGTGTGTGTGTGGGTGTGTGTGTGTGTGTGTGTGTTGGTGTGTGTGTGTGTGTGGTGGGGGTGTGTGGTGTGTGTGTGTGTGTGGGGTGTGTGTGTGTGTGTTGTGTGTGTGTGTGTGGTGTGTGTGTGTGTGTGTGTGTTGTGTGTGTGGGTTATGTGTGTGTGTTTAATATGTGTGTGGTATGTTTGTGTGTGTGTGTGTGTGTGTGTATAATGTGTGTGTGTATAATAATGTGTGTGTGTATAATAATAATGTGTGTGTGTGTGTGTGTGTGTGTGTCAGGGTGACAGCGAGGCGGCGCTGCGTTTCCTCCTCGAGGCTCGGATCAGAGAGGAGGTCAGCTCTGAGTTCATGGAGCTCTATAACACGATGAAGAAGGACTACAGGTAAGGAGGTCATGTGACCAGAAACACCTGCAGTCTGCACCTGTCTGTGTCAGGGTATAATGAGGTGTGTGTGTGTGTCAGCGAGCGACTGGAGAAGGAAAAGGAGCTGCTGGAGGAGCGAGCGGACAAGAGGGTGGAGATCCTGAAGAAGCTCGTCAGTAAACCGTCAGCGCCGACAAAAGGTGAGGAAACTCCAATGAATCTATCGTTAAGACTCGGGACTCGTTAGGACTGGTTAAGACTTGGGATTCGTTAAGACTCGGGATTCGTTAAGACTGGTTAAGACTTGGGATTCGTTAAGACTGGTTAAGACTTGGGATTCGTTAAGACTGGGGACTGGTTGAGACTCGGGACTCGTTAGGACTGGTTAAGACTCGGGACTCGTTAAGACTCGGGATTCGTTAAGACTGGTTAAGACTTGGGATTCGTTAAGACTGGTTAAGACTTGGGATTCGTTAAGACTGGGGGACTGGTTGAGACTCGGGACTCGTTAGGACTGGTTAAGACTCGGGATTCGTTAAGACTCGGGATTCGGTTAAGACTCGGGATTCGTAAGATGGTAAGACTTGGTCGTTAAGACTCGGGACTCGTTAGGACTGGTTAAGGACTTGGGATTCGTTAAGACTCGGGACTCGTTAGGACTGGTTAAGACTTGGGATTCGTTAAGACTCGGGATTCGTTAAGACTGGTTAAGACTTGGGATTCGTTAAGACTGGTTAAGACTTGGGATTCGTTAAGACTGGGGACTGGTTGAGACTCGGGACTCGTTAGGACTGGTTAAGACTCGGGATTCGTTAGGACTGGTTAAGACTCGGGACTCGTTAGGACTGGTTAAGACTCTGGACTCGTTAGGATTGGTTAAGACTCGGGACTCGTTAGGACTGGTTAAGACTCCGGGATTCGTTAAGACTCGGGATTCGTTAAGACTCGGGATTCGTTAAGGACTGGTTAAGACTGGGATTCGTTAAGAGCTGGTTAAGACTTGGGATTCGTTAAGACTGGGGACTGGTTGAGACTCGGGACTCGTTTAGGACCTGGTTAAGACTCGGGATTCGTTAGGACTGGTTAAGACTCGGGACTCGTTAGGACTGGTTAAGACTCGGGACTCGTTAGGACTGGTTAAGACTCGGGACTCGTTAGGACTGGTTAAGACTCGGGACTCGTTAGGACTGGTAAGACTCGGGATTCATGAGGACTGGTTAAGACTCGGGACTCGAGTGGTGTTCTGAATGTTCCTCAGAGAGCTCTGATGGTGTTCTGAATGTTCCTCAGAGAGCTCTGATGGTGTTCTGAATGTTCCTCAGAGAGCTCTGATGGTGCTCTGATGGTGTTCTGAATGTTCCTCAGAGCTCTGATGGTGTTCTGAATGTTCCTCAGAGAGCTCTGATGGTGTTCTGAATGTTCCTCAGAGCTCTGATGATGCTCTGAATGTTCCTCAGAGAGCTCTGATGGTGTTCTGAATGTTCCTCAGAGCTCTGATGATGCTCTGAATGTTCCTCAGAGAGCTCTGATGATGCTCTGAATGTTCCTCAGAGAGCTCTGATGATGCTCTGAATGTTCCTCAGAGAGCTCTGATGGTGTTCTGAATGTTCCTCAGAGAGCTCTGATGGTGCTCTGAATGTTCCTCAGAGAGCTCTGATGGTGTTCTGAATGTTCCTCAGAGCTCTGATGATGCTCTGAATGTTCCTCAGAGAGCTCTGATGATGCTCTGAATGTTCCTCAGAGCTCTGATGGTGTTCTGAATGTTCCTCAGAGCTCTGATGATGCTCTGAATGTTCCTCAGAGCTCTGATGGTGCTCTGAATGTTCCTCAGAGAGCTCTGATGGTGTTCTGAATGTTCCTCAGAGAGCTCTGATGGTGTTCTGAATGTTCCTCAGAGCTCTGATGGTGTTCTGAATGTTCCTCAGAGAGCTCTGATGATGCTCTGAATGTTCCTCAGAGCTCTGATGATGCTCTGAATGTTCCTCAGAGAGCTCTGATGGTGTTCTGAATGTTCCTCAGAGCTCTGATGGTGTTCTGAATGTTCCTCAGAGAGCTCTGATGATGCTCTGAATGTTCCTCAGAGCTCTGATGATGCTCTGAATGTTCCTCAGAGCTCTGATGATGCTCTGAATGTTCCTCAGAGCTCTGATGGTGTTCTGAATGTTCCTCAGAGAGCTCTGATGATGCTCTGAATGTTCCTCAGAGCTCTGATGATGCTCTGAATGTTCCTCAGAGAGCTCTGATGGTGTTCTGAATGTTCCTCAGAGCTCTGATGGTGTTCTGAATGTTCCTCAGAGAGCTCTGATGATGCTCTGAATGTTCCTCAGAGCTCTGATGATGCTCTGAATGTTCCTCAGAGCTCTGATGATGCTCTGAATGTTCCTCAGAGCTCTGATGATGTTCTGAATGTTCCTCAGAGCTCTGATGATGTTCTGAATGTTCCTCAGAGAGCTCTGATGATGCTCTGAATGTTCCTCAGAGCTCTGATGATGCTCTGAATGTTCCTCAGAGCTCTGATGGTGTTCTGAATGTTCCTCAGAGCTCTGATGATGCTCTGAATGTTCCTCAGAGCTCTGATGATGCTCTGAATGTTCCTCAGAGCTCTGATGATGCTCTGAATGTTCCTCAGAGCTCTGATGATGCTCTGAATGTTCCTCAGAGCTCCGATGATGCTCTGAATGTTCCCTCAGAGAGCTCTGATGGTGGAGGAGGAGCAGAGGAGGAAACGCCAGCGAGAGGAAGAGGAGGAGGAGGGGAACCAGCGAAGAAGAGAGGTGAGAGGAGGAAGATGCTCTGCAGCATTTATTATTTATGTTTTTTGTAATGTTTTTTATAAATGCTCCTCCTCTTCCTCAGTGCTGGAGGAGGAGATCTGGCGGCTCCAAGAGGAGAACGAGAGACAAGAGGAAACCATCAGGGAGCTGAGAGAGAGGAGGAGAGGGAGGGAGGAGGAGGAGGAGCTGAAGAGGAGGGAGGAGGAGCTGCAGGAGCTGAAGAGGAGGGAGGAGGAGCTGCAAGAGATGAAGAGGAGGGAGGAGGAGCTGCAAGAGATGAAGAGGAGGGAGGAGGAGCTGCAAGAGATGAAGAGGAGGGAGGAGGAGCTGCAGGAGATGAGAGGGAGGAGGAGCTGCAAGAGATGTAAGAGGAGGAGGAGGATCTGCAAGAGATGAGAGGAGGGAGGAGGAGCTGCAAGAGATGAAGAGGAGGGAGGAGAGCTGCAAGAGATGAAGAGGAGGGGAGGAGGAGCTGCAGAGATGAAGAGGAGGGAGGAGCTGCAGGAGATGAAGAGAGGAGGAGGGGAGAGAGATGCGGGGAGGGAGGAGCTGCAAGAGATGAAGAGGAGGGGGAGGAGGCTGCAGGAGATGAAGAAGGAGCAGATCCTCCTGCAGCAGAAGGTTGCAGGAAGCTCCACAGGTACGAAATGAGCAGGGCTCTGTCGTGATTGGTCAACCCCTTAGAGAAGTCCCGCCCCTTAGCCTTTTCACATACAATGTGTTGGAGCGCTGCCCCAATAGGAGCACCCTACACACTGTACGACACGCACCTACGCACTGTACGACACGCACTGTACGACCCGCCACCTACACACTGTACGACACGCACCCTAGCACTGTACACACGGCACTGTACCACACGCAACTACGCACTGTACGACCCACGCACCTACGCACTGTAACCACACGCACCTACACACTGTACCACACGCACCTACGCACTGCACCACACGCACCTACGCACTGTACCACACGCACCTACACACTACCACACGCACCTACACACTGTACCCACACGCACCTTGTACCACACGCACCTACGCAACTGTACCACACGCACTGTACCACACGCACCTACGCACTGTACCACCACGCACCTACACACTGTACCACACGCACCTACGCACTGTACGACACGCACCTACGCACTGTACCACACGCACCTACACACTGTAACACACGCACCTACACACTGTACCACACGCACCTACACACTGTACCACACGCACCTACACACTGTACCACACGCACTGTACCACACGCACCTACGCACTGTACCACACGCACCTACACACTGTACCACACGCACTGTACCACACGCACCTACGCACTGTACCACACGCACTGTACCACACGCACCTACACACTGTACCACACGCACCTACACACTGTACCACACGCACTGTACCACACGCACCTACACACTGTACCACACGCACTGTACCACACGCACCTACACACTGTACCACACGCACCTACGCACTGTACCACACGCACCTACACACTGTACCACGTACCACACGCACCTACACACTGTACCACACGCACCTACACACTGTACCACACGCACCTACACACTGTACAACACGCACTGTACCACACGCACCTACGCACTGTACCACACGCACCTACGCACTGTACCACACGCACTGTACCACACGCACCTACGCACTGTACGACACACACCTACACACTGTACCACACGCACCTACGCACTGTACGACACGCACCTACGCACTGTACCACACGCACCTACACACTGTACCACACGCACCTACACACTGTACCACACGCACCCACACACTGTACCACACGCACCTACACACTGTACAACACGCACTGTACCACACGCACCTACGCACTGTACCACACGCACTGTACACACGCACCTACGCACTGTACCACACGCACCTACGCACGCTACCACACGCACTGTACCACACGCACTACGCACTGTACCACACGCCACCTACGCACTGTACACACGCACACGCACTGTACACAGCACTGTACCCACACCGCACCTACACACTGTACAACACGCACTGTACCACACGCACCTACACACTGTACCACACGCACCTACGCACTGTACCACACGCACTGTACCACACGCACCTACGCACTGTACCACACGCACCTACACACTGTACCACACGCACTGTACCACACGCACCTACACACTGTACCACACGCACCTACACACTTGTACCACACGCACCTACACACTGTACCACACGCACTGTACCCACGCACCTACGCACTGTACGACACGCACCTACGCACTGTACCACACGCACTGTACCACACGCACTGCTACCACACGCACCTACGCACTGTACGACACGCACCTACGCACTGTACGACACGCACCTACGCACTGTACCACACGCACCTTACACACTGTACCACACGCACTGTACCACACGCACCTACTCACTGTACCACACGCACCTACTCACTGTACCACACGCACCTACGCACTGTACCACACGCACCTACGCACTGTACCACACGCACCTGCGCACTGTACCACACGCACCTACACACTGTACAACACGCACTGTACCACACGCACCTACACACTGTACCACACGCACTGTACCACACGCACCTACGCACTGTACCACACGCACCTACGCACTGTACCACACGCACCTACGCACTGTACCACACGCACTGTACCACACGCACCTACACACTGTACAACACGCACTGTACCCCCCGCACCTACACACCTGTACCACACGCACCTACACACTGTACCACACGCACCTACACACTGTACCACACGCACTGTACCACACGCACCTACACACTGTACAACACGCACTGTACCACACGCACCTACACACTGTACCACACGCACCTACACACTGTACCACACGCACCCTACACACTGTACCACACGCACCTACACACTGTACGACACGCACCTACGCACTGTACCACACGCACTGTACCACACGCACCTACGCACTGTACGACACGCACCTAGGCACTGTACGACACGCACCTACGCACTGTACCACACGCACCTACACACTGTACCACACACACCTACACACTGTACCACACGCACCTACACACTGTACCACACGCACCTACACACTGTACGACACGCACCTACGCACTGTACCACACGCACTGTACCACACGCACCTACGCACTGTACGACACGCACCTAGGCACTGTACGACACGCACCTACGCACTGTACCACACGCACCTACGCACTGTACCACACGCACTGTACGACACACACCTACGCACTGTACCACACGCACCTACGCACTGTACCACACGCACTGTACCACACGCACCTACGCACTGTACCACACGCACTGTACCACACGCACCTACGCACTGTACCACACGCACCTACGCACTGTACCACACGCACCTACGCACTGTACCACACGCACTGTACCACACGCACCTACGCACTGTACCACACGCACCTACGCACTGTACCACACGCACCTACGCACTGTACCACACGCACCTACACACTGTACCACACGCACACACCTACGCACTGTACCACACGCACCTACTCACTGTACCACACGCACCTACGCACTGTACCACACGCACTGTACCACACGCACTGTACCACACGCACCTACGCACTGTACCACACGCACCTACGCACTGTACCACACGCACCTACACACTGTACCACACGCACCTACACACTGTACCACACGCACACACCTACACCACTGTACCCCACGCACCTACGCAACTGTACCACACGCACCTACGCACTGTACCACACGCACACACCTACACACTGTACCACACGCACCTACGCACTGTACCACACGCACACACCTACACACTGTACCACACACACCTACACACTGTACCACACGCACACACCTACGCACTGTACCACACGCACCTACGCACTGTACCACACGCACCTACGCACTGTACCACACACAGGAGTGCTAGTGGAGCACGCGCGTAAACTGCGAGCTGTGTGTGTGTTAGTAACATGTTCCCTCTCCTGCAGACCTGGACTCATGTGCTAACTGTGACTCGGTGTTCTTCTCCCTGGAGGCGGAGCAGAGAGAGAGCGGCCGACTGAAGAAGGAAAACAAAGCTCTGATCAACGGCATCTTCAACCTGCAGACGGAGGTACAGGTTTACACATAATATACTACATATACTGTATATACACCAGTGTTGTAGTCAAGTCACCAATTCACGAGTCCAAGTCACTCTCGAGTCACCACTCTTCGAGTCCGAGTCCAAGTCCGAGTCACCAAGGGAGAGTCGTAGTCGAGTCCGAGTCCGAGTCACCTAGGGAGAGTCGTAGTCGAGTCCGTGTCCAAGTCCGAGTCACCTAGGGAGAGTCGTAGTCGAGTCCGAGTCCAAGTCCGAGTCACCAAGGGAGAGTCGTAGTCGAGTCCGTGTCCAAGTCCGAGTCACCAAGGAGAGTCGTAGTCGAGTCCGAGTCAAGTCACCTAGGGAGAGTCGTAGTCGAGTCCGTGTCCAAGTCCGAGTCACCTAGGGAGAGTCGTAGTCGAGTCCGAGTCCAAGTCCGAGTCACCAAGGGAGAGTCGTAGTCGAGTCCGTGTCACCTAGGGAGAGTCGTAGTCGAGTCCGTGTCCAAGTCCGAGTCACCTAGGGAGAGTCGTAGTCGAGTCCAAGTCCGAGTCACCAAGGGAGAGTCGTAGTCGAGTCCGTGTCCAAGTCCGAGTCACCTAGGGAGAGTCGTAGTCGAGTCCAAGTCCGAGTCACCTAGGGAGAGTCGTAGTCGAGTCCAAGTCCGAGTCACCTAGGGAGAGTCGTAGTCGAGTCCGTGTCCAAGTCCGAGTCACCTAGGGAGAGTCGTAGTCCGAGTCACCTAGGGAGAGTCGTAGTCGAGTCCGAGTCCAAGTCCGAGTCACCTAGGGAGAGTCGTAGTCGAGTCCGTGTCCAAGTCCGAGTCACCTAGGGAGAGTCCTAGTCGAGTCCGAGTCCAAGTCCGAGTCACCAAGGGAGAGTCGTAGTCGAGTCCAAGTCCGAGTCACCTAGGGAGAGTCGTAGTCGAGTCCAAGTCCGAGTCACCTAGGGAGAGTCGTAGTCGAGTCCGTGTCCAAGTCCGAGTCACCTAGGGAGAGTCGTAGTCGAGTCCAAGTCCGAGTCACCTAGGGAGAGTCGTAGTCGAGTCCGTGTCCAAGTCCGAGTCACCAAGGGAGAGTCGTAGTCCGAGTCCGTGTCCAAGTCCGAGTCACCTAGGGAGAGTCGTAGTCCGAGTCCGTGTCCAAGTCCGAGTCACCTAGGGAGAGTCGTAGTCGAGTCCGTGTCCAAGTCCGAGTCACCTAGGGAGAGTCGTAGTCGAGTCCGTGTCCAAGTCCGAGTCACCAAGGGAGAGTCGTAGTCGAGTCCGAGTCCAAGTCCGAGTCACCTAGGGAGAGTTGTAGTCGAGTCCAAGTCCGAGTCACCAAGGGAGAGTCGTAGTCGAGTCCGAGTCCAAGTCCGAGTCACCTAGGGAGAGTCGTAGTCGAGTCCAAGTCCGAGTCACCAAGGGAGAGTCGTAGTCGAGTCCGAGTCCAAGTCCGAGTCACCTAGGGAGAGTCGTAGTCGAGTCCGAGTCCAAGTCACCTAGGGAGAGTCGTAGTCGAGTCCAAGTCCGAGTCACCAAGGGAGAGTCGTAGTCGAGTCCGAGTCCAAGTCCGAGTCACCTAGGGAGAGTCGTAGTCGAGTCCGAGTCACCAAGGGAGAGTCGTAGTCGAGTCCGAGTCACCAAGGGAGAGTCGTAGTCGAGTCCGAGTCACCAAGGGAGAGTCGTAGTCCGAGTCCAAGTCCGAGTCACCAAGGAGTGTCCGAGTTGAGTCCGAGTCATCATTACTTGTGTTCGAGTCCGAGTCCCAAGTCTTCATGTATTAATCTTCGTGGATATATGTGTTGAAATGTAGCTGCTCCTCTACATTGCTTTTATCCTGTCATGTTATACTAATCTGTCTATTGAACTGCTGTGAAGCCAGTTTGGCTACAAGTCTTGTAATAGGTGCTATACAAATATAAAGCTTATTACTAATATTAATATTATTATTATTATATATAAATAAACTATGTTTAAAATGAGTTACCTTTTAGAGAAGTGATTATATTTGTATGCCAATATTTTCCTATGGTAAAGTTTTCGTTTTGCACTTTTATTTTGATAGTAATAAGATCGGGACTCTTATTTTGAAGGAACTTTTACCGGTTTAAATCGGTTTACTGATAAAGATTTAGCCCCAGAAAGCACATGGCTACTTAGCATGCAACATGACTCACTCTGCATGCTAAGTAGCCATGTGCTTTCGTGTTATCGGCTGAATCTTTATGTATTGATTAGATCACGTTACTCTGATGATAGTGTTCAGCCTATATGTCTGAACTCGATGTTTAGAGTAATGTGTTACGGAGCCTTCTCTTCAATATTGTTTCCACATAGAGCATTTTGCTGCTCTTTTCCAATGTGGAAGCAGAATGTGTGAAAGCATACAGCACGATGCGGGGTGTGTCTCTAGACATCTTTAGACTGGAATAGCGGGGCCCAGTACGTGACTCGCCCTCGCAGGTGCACACGCCAGGATAGAGGACATCAGACTCCATAGAAAACTTGCTCGAGTCCGAGTCGGAGCATCAATGTACAAGTCGAGTGAGTCCAAGTCATCGTGCGCGAGAATTCACGAGTCCAAGTCCAAGTCGCGTCAATCAGTGCGCGAGTCCGAGTCGAGTCACGAAAATCGACACTGGAGTCTGACTCGAGTCCAAGTCAAGGGGTGTTTCTCAATGTCGAGTAAAGCTGCTTCAGAGCCACTATTTCAAGCATGCTACGTCATCGAGTGCCGCCGAAGTACTGTTCCAATCTCCAGCATACTTGGAAATCTACCGAGCCCGGCGTACTCCGTTTGGAGAAATATCGAGGCTGCACATGAGTAGACTCCACGGTCTTAAAAATCCCCACAATGCTTTGCGCACGGACCAATTTCCCCCAAATCTGTGGCGGAAGATGTAAGAGGCGGGGCCTCTCATATGACGCACACCTGCACACTTGCTAGCCTGTTCCACTCTTTGTTTTCCGAATGCCAGGAAGTATTCTTGACCTCGCTTCTGAAGCAAGATGCTCGGCAGACATGTGCTACCAAGCAAGCGTACTCGCCATTGAGAAACACCCCAGGACTCGAGTACTCCATCTCTGATATACACTGTACTACATATACTGTATACAGGAAGATAGTGGGGACTTCATCAGGTGCACATGTAGAACGTTATATTACGCGTATGATGGTTTGTTGAGATGTTTTAAAATGACTAATGTCAAATAAGAAAATAATTATTTAAACTTCTCTTCCAGGTGACCAGTCTCCAGACCAAGCTCAAGGAGCAGACTGACAGCCAATCAGAGGAGCTCAACACTGCAAAGGCCCGCCTCCAGGACCTGGAGAGCCAATCAGAGGAGCTCAACACTGCAAAGGCCTGCCTCCAGGACCTGGAGAGCCAATCAGAGGAGCTCAACACTGCAAAGGCCCGCCTCCAGGACCTGGAGAGCCAATCAGAGGAGCTCAACACTGCAAAGGCCCGCCTCCAGGACCTGGAGAGCCAATCAGAGGAGCTCAACACTGCAAAGGCCCGCCTCCGGGACCTGGAGAGCCAATCAGAGGAGAAGGCGGTCAGCTACAACAGCCTGACGCAGGAAGTGGAACGTCTGAGACAGGAAGTCAAGGTCTGTTTATTGATATTACTGATTATTAAATATGACATAATTTGTTTACCTTTTATACATCTCCCTCCTCACCCTCCACCTGTGTGTCCCTCAGGAGGAGGAGCCCAGCAGGAGGTTCCTCTCTGCGCTGCAGGATCTGAAGGAGGAGGGTCAGGCGGCTCTGCAGAGATCAGCAGAGAAATCACAACTGATCCAAGATCTGCAAGAGGAGACGAGTCAGCTGCAGAGACGCCTGGACCACAGGTACACAGATACCAGCTTTAAAGAGTACAGGTACACAGATACCAGCTTTAAAGAGTACAGGTACACAGATACCAGCTTTAAAGAGTACAGGTACACAGATACCAGCTTTAAAGAGTACAGGTACACAGATACCAGCTTTAATAAAGAGTACAGGGTACACAGATACCAGCTTTAAAGAGTACAGGTACACAGATACCAGCTTTAATAAAGAGTACAGGTACACAGATACCAGCTTTAATAAAGAGTACAGGTACACAGATACCAGCTTTAAAGAGTACAGGTACACAGATACCAGCTTTAAAGAGTACAGGTACACAGATACCAGCTTTAAAGAGTACAGGTACACAGATAACCAAGCTTAATAAAGAGTACAGGTACACAGATACCAGCTTTAAAGAGTACAGGTACACAGATACCAGCTTTAAAGAGTACAGGTACACAGATACCAGCTTTAAAGAGTAAGGTACACAGATACCCAAAGAGTACAGGTACACAGATACCAGCTTTAAAGAGTACAGGTACACAGATACCAGCTTTAAAGAGTACAGGTACACAGATACCAGCTTTAAAGAGTACAGGTACACAGATACCAGCATTAAAGAGTACAGGTACACAGATACCAGCATTAAAGAGTACAGGTACACAGATACCAGCTTTAAAGAGTACAGGTACCAGACCAGCTTAAAGGTACAGGTACACAGATACCAGCTTTAAAGAGTACAGGTACACAGATACCAGCTTTAAAGAGTACAGGTACACAGATACCAGCTTTAATAAAGGGCAGCAGGAACACCTGCACTGTCTTTAAATGACTGATATACACCAGGATACTTAAAAAACCCTGTTCCTGTGTAGTTGGATATAACGTACCTGTGTGTCTTCAGTGAGAACAGGTGTGCTGAGCTCAGCGAGGAGTTATCCAATCAGAGAGCAGCATTCAGCCAGCAGCTGCAGGGCCTCAGGGCGGAGCTGGAGTCTGAGCGCGGAGCTCTGCGAGGGAGACTACAGGAGGAGGAGCAGGAGAGAGCAGGTGAGGAGGAAGCAGCAGCCAATCAGACGAGCCTCTGACCTGTGACTCATGGAGGACTTTATATATATTAAAGGGGACCTATCATGCACTTGTGTACGTCTTTTCTACATGAATATGTGTCCCCGGTGTTCCAGGGAACTCGCCAAGTGTCAGAAAACACAACCCTCTCTATTTTCCTCCATACCCAAATCTCTAAAAAAAGGGGCTGCAACGGATCTGATCAAAACTGATCCAGATTTGAACACTGTCCTGACGTCAGGACGGTGGCGCTACGGCTATTGGGCCAACTCCACCCATCAGGAGGAGACAGCCACGGCCATTGCCGTTCTAAAGCGCTGGAGACGCTGTAGTACATATGCCAGGCCTGTAAGTGGCGCTGTAGTCTGCCACAAAAGCAGCAAAGAAGACTTCCCGCCCATAGTTACCATGGTTACCCTTCTGTTTATTCTCCGCTGTGGCTTTCTTTCTCCCTCCCCGAGGCAAGCGTTTGCTCCCGCTGCTTTAATTCAATGCAATCCCTCCCCGTCGAGGCAAGCACTGTAATTCTCTCCGGTTAGTCCACCAGCAGATGACAAACACCCACCTCTCCGCCTCTTCCAAGGAACGAGGGGACCGTGCGGCAGAGTTTCAGTTTCAGTTTCTTTCGCCGGTCAAGATGTCCGTTAAAGTTTAAATCTTCAGGACAAAATTAGAAAAGTGCCGGTCAAAGGATCTTCTTTGTTATTTATTGAGCTTTAAAACAAATGAATAACGACTCTATATAATAAAACACGGAGGACGGAGATCTCTTTTTTCTCCCCCTCTTCTGACAGCCCAGCAGCTGATCAGAGCACGTCTCCCCTCTCCTGCAGGGGGGCGTGGTCAGCAGAATCAGCCCCGTAGACAGCAAACAGCACAGAGCGAAATGAGGCATGGCTAAAATGCATGATCTGTTTGGTATTTTGAAAACAGAAACGTATAAATATACCTTATGTAGGTATGGCCCTACAATATATCATTTAAATATAGCATGATAGGTCCACTTTAAACATGACTCTGTTCTTCAGAACTCCTCAGAGCGGCGCTGGAGAAGGAGAAGCTTCTGGAGGAGTGCCGTAGAGAGACGGAGACGCTCAGAAAAGGTTTATTATTCATCTGATTCATTTATTTTACAATTCAATTCAAAAGACTAGAAATAAACAAAAGTAGAAAATGTACACTAAAGCAAGTTATTAAACATCCATCAGCTGCTCAGGGAGTTTAAATGAAAGATATAATCTGTAGATGTTTGTTCATCAGAGCTGGAGCGACTGAAGGAGGAGCTGCAGAGCCGGGAGGAGGAGGAGGAGCTGCAGAGCCGGGAGGAGGAGGAGGAGGAGGAGGAGCTGCAGAGCCGGGAGGAGGAGGAGGAGGAGGAGGAGGAGGAGGAGAACAGGCAGGAGGTGATGCCGGTGGTTCAGGAGCTGAAGGAGGAGCTGCAGAAGCTGAAGGAGAGGAGGGAGGAGAGGGAGGAGAAAGAGAGGAGGGAGAGGGAGGAGAGGGAGTTTGATGCTGTGAGGAGAGAGGTGGAGAGACTGCAGAGACTGAAGGAGGAGAGAGGAGGCGCTCAGGTGAGGAGGGCTTATATCTTTGGTCCTGTTGGAGTTGAATGATATAACAGCTGTTAAGGTGATGTCACTGCAGCTGGGAGGAGACGCCATCACACTGATCACAGTTTACCGTGTGTTTCAGGACGTGTGTGTGTCTCCTCTGAGATCCAACATGATCGACAGGAAGAAGACGACCGGGAGGAAGAGGAAGAGCTGCGAGGTGTGTGTGTGTGTGTGGTGTGTGTGTGTGTGTGGTGTGTGTGTGTGTGTGGTGTGTGTGTGTGTGTGTGTGTGTGTGTGTGTGTGTGGTGTGTGTGTGTGTGTGTGTGTGTGTGTGTGGTGTGTGTGTGTGTGTGTGTGTGGTGTGTGTGTGTGTGTGTGTGTGTGTGTGTGTGTGTGTGTGTGTGTGTGTGTGTGTGTGTGTGTGTGTGTGTGTGTGTGTTCGTGTGTGTTCGTGTGTGTGTGTTCGTTCCCTGGTTTTTAACGTGTGTGTGTTTCAGAACCTGGTGTCCAGTGAAAACAAGAGGAACAGAGGAAACACCCGGACCAACAAACAGGTGAGAGAAAAGCATCACTTCCAGAACACAGTGACATCACTACTTAACACTAGCGCTCCAACACCTTGTCTGTGATAGGCTAAGGGGCGTGACATCACTACTTAACACTAGCGCTCCAACACCTTGTCTGTGATAGGCTAAGGGGCGTGACATCACTACTTAACACTAGCGCTCCAACACCTTGTCTGTGATAGGCTAAGGGACGTGACATCACTACTTAACACTTGCGCTCCTTTTGGCTAGCGCTCCAACACCTTGTCTGTGATAGGCTAAGGGGCGTGACATCACTACTTAACACTAGCGCTCCAACACCTTGTCTGTGATAGGCTAAGGGGCGTGACATCACTACTTAACACTAGCGCTCCAACACCTTGTCTGTGATAGGCTAAGGGGCGTGACATCACTACTTAACACTAGTGCTCCAACACCTTGTCTGTGATAGGCTAAGGGGCGTGACATCACTACTTAACACTAGCGCTCCAACACCTTGTCTGTGATAGGCTAAGGGGCGTGACATCACTACTTAACACTAGCGCTCCAACACCTTGTCTGTGATAGGCTAAGGGGCGTGACATCACTACTTAACACTAGCGCTCCAACACCTTGTCTGTGATAGGCTAAGGGGCGTGACATCACTACTTAACACTAGCGCTCCAACACCTTGTCTGTGATAGGCTAAGGGGCGTGACATCACTACTTAACACTAGCGCTCCAACACCTTGTCTGTGATAGGCTAAGGGGCGTGACATCACTACTTAACACTAGCGCTCCAACACCTTGTCTGTGATAGGCTAAGGGGCGTGACATCTCTAAGAGCAAATCATAAAGTTGCAATCAGTTATTTTTTTAGATAAGATACTTTTTTAATAATAGTAATAGATGAAACTTGCATAGCGCCTTTCAAGGGAGCCAAGGCCGCTTTACATGGTGAACAAACAAACATGAAAGGCAAACATGAAAGTAAAACATTAAATAAATAGCAGTAGGAGTGGAAGCAGGGGTCTGTGATGGGTTAGGGGTCAAAAACCCAACTTTGGGACATTTTTCCAAATTGTGCAACCCTAATGTTGTGTGTAAGTACAATAAATGGTGTGTGTGTGTGTAGAGTTCTGCAGTGAAGGAGAAGTGTGACGGCGCTCTGCAGAAGATCGGAGATTTGATCCACAGCTCTCCCTCCATCCTGGGCAGCACAGGTACTGTTTCATATCACCCTTCATCTTTGTTAGAAAGATCTCACTGGTCCCCAGCTTGAGCTTCAATCTCAGGATCCATGTATTTATTATCGTCTCAAGAATGGAAGTAGTCAAAACTAAAAAAGATAATTTGTTGGTATTTTTTCTCAATATTCTGACATTTTCTCAAAATCTAAAAATTCTGACTTTTTTCCCAAAATCTAAAAATTCTGACTTTTTCTCAAAATTCTGAATTTTTCTCAAAAATTCTGAATTTTTCTCAAAAATTCTGAATTTTTCTCAAAAATTCTGAATTTTTCTCAAAAATTTCAAAATTATGACTTTTTCTCAAAAATTTCAAAATTATGACTTTTTCTCAAAAATTTCAAAATTATGACTTTTTCCTCAAAATTATGACTTCTTCCTCAAAAATATCTCAACATTTTTGACTTTTTCTCAAAATTATGACTTTTTCCCAAAAATTATGACTTTTTTCTCAAAATTCTGAATTTCTCAAAAATCTCAAAAGTCTGACTTTTTATCAAAAATCTGCCTTTTTCTCTAAAATCTAAAATGTTTGACTTTTTCTCAAACATTTCTAAATTATGACTTTTTCTCAAAATTATGACTTTTTCTCAAAATTATGACTTCATCTTTGATTCATCTCTGACTTTTTCCCCAAATATCTCAAAATTATGACTTTTTCCTCAAAATTATGACTTCATCTTTGTTAGAAAGATCTCACTGGTCCCCAGCTTGAGCTTCAATCTCAGGATCCATGTTTTTCTCAATATTCTGACTTTTTCTCAAAATCTAAAAATTCTGCCTTTTCCTCAAAATTCTGACTTTTTTCCCAAATATCTCAAAATGTTGACTTTCAACCAAAATCAAAATGTTTGACTTTTTCTCAAAATTCTGAATTTTTCTCAAAAATCTAATTTTTTTAACTTTTTCTCAAAAATTTCAAAATTATGACTTTTTCCTCAAAATGTTGACTTTTTCTCAAAATGTTAATAATCACTGGTCCCCGGCTTGAGCTAGTGAATAAATTAATTAATGTATCCGCACGCTCGCAGGAATATCTCCGCAATGGAGCGTGCTTAAGTTTCACTTTCGATTGCATGATATAGCCCAGCGCCACACCTTCGTCACACATGTTGCCACGTGTTTGGACCATTTTCTGGCGATTTGTAATCTGTGTTTTTTGGATTTCAAGAAGCGTATCGAACAAACAATGGATGTATTTTATAAACATTTATCCATGCTGGAAGTAGATTTAGATGTTAGGAGTGAGATAGAGATTTTCTTTTGATGAAGTGTCCTTGGTATGCAAAAGTTTGAGAAACACTGAGCTAGTGGATTATCAACGGGGGGAGCCTCGCTGCGGGGAAATTATACAGATGGCCAGTCCGCCCCCGAAAAATGTCTTTGCACACGTTATTATTAATAATAATTCTTACAAAATTATAAAAATTGTATTTTATTTAAATGTTGTAATCATCTCGCGACCCCCACTTTGGGAACTCCTGTTCTAGGTAATCATACATCCTGTCATTGTGTGTGTGTGTGTGTGTGTGTGTGTGTGTGTGTGTGTGTGTGTGTAGCTAAGAGCATCATGGGGCTGGTGAGCGGTCACTCTGTGGAGAAAGAGGCGGTGCAGAGACCCAAACGAGGACGCAGGAAACTGTTCAAGATGGACGCCACGCTGCAGGACTCCCCAGATGCAGTGAGGAGGAAACAATAAACAGCCATCTTAATGTTTCATAGATGATATGCACATTAGATAACAGCCATCTCAATAGGAGTCAGAACTCACCACTGCTCACCAGCTAACAGCAGCTACTGTTGGATATAGTTAGCGTTAGCATCAAGTGAAGCACAGAGAGGAGCAGCTGCAAGAAACCAGAAAACACACTTTATTAGAAATGATCCAGGTTTCCCTCAAAGACTTCCTCCTGACGACAACAAGCCACTGCTCACACTCTACATTCACTTAGATCAGAGAGCTATGTGACGTTAGCTGTTAGCAGTTAGCTGCAGTTAGCTGTTAGCAGAGGAACAGAGCTAACTGCTGTTCCCTAGAGTTACACCGTGGTGCCTTCAGGCTCTTAAAACATAATCGTGATTTAATCGTGTCGTTAAAAGAGAGGACGAACATTTAAAGCTTTTTTTTTTTTTTAAGATGTCTGGAAGAGCGAATGAGGAGAAGGAGAGCGATCACCTGATCATCAAGAGACAGCTGCGCTCCAAGACCTGCAGGAAGTGACATCATCATCAGCAGGAAGTGACATCATCATCCTCAGGGAGTGACCTCATCATCCTCAGGGAGTGACCTCATCATCCTCAGGGAGTGACATCATCATCCTCAGGGAGTGACATCATCATCCTCAGGGAGTGACATCATCATCGTGGGACTTCACCACAATGTTTCGGCGGTATTAAAAACTGCACAGAAATGTTTTCTACTTTTAGTTTGCAGGGGTTTGATTTTTTTTAAATAAAGATCAGAACAGAAAACTTTCCACTTTGTGAGAAACACAGAAAAAAATGTGGTATTTTCAAAATAAAAGCCATCTATTAATCAGAGATTGAACTGTTATATTTGTTGTGTTTAGATCGAGCATGAAAATATAAATCTGGTATTTCTTGTATAATTTGTATTTAAAACTACAGTGATTTCTTTTAGCATTTATATTTGTTAATGTCTGTCGTGGTGGACGTTACTCGTGGACGTAACACACACACACACACACACGTGGTGGACGTAACACACACACAGCTGTCTGTCGTGGTGGACGTAACACACACACACACACACGTGGTGGACGTAACACACACGTGGTGGACGGACGTTTCAACTGTAGTCAAAATAAAGAATATCATTATAATTGATTAGTGTTAAATATCACACACCAGGTAACTAACGGTTCAACAGAATACTCTTTACCTGAGCGACTTTAAAACTGACTGTTTTCTGATGTCTGTAAATATTTTATATAAAAAGCTCCTTGTTTTAATAAGTGTTTTAATGAGTCTTGAATTCATGAACCGGTTTGAACTTTTGTGGATAAATCATTTTCAATCAATTCAGAAATCAACGTTCACTTTTATTTCATTTGTTTTATTCGATTATTCTGTAGATTCCTGGTTTGGCGAATAACGTGTAAACAAAACCTGAACTGATGTCATGCTTGGCTTGTGTAACCATTAGCCAATCAGCAACCACGGGTTCAGTATCTCGCCCAAGGATACATCGACATGTTGACTGCAGGGGCTGGGATCGAACCCACAACCTTCTGGTTGAAAGACGACGCACTCCCTCGCAGCCACAGTCGCCCTGTTGGAGAGCTTTGAATCAGTGACTCTCCGTCGTTGATGTTCCTCCAGCTACAGAACATGTATATTAAAGAGACAGTTTATATCCGACTCGTGAGACTTTAACCCTTTGCACATCACTCGGGGCCTTTTCATCTGAACATCACTCAGGGCCTTTTCATCTGAACATCACTCAGGGCCTTTTCATCTGAACATCACTCAGGGCCTTTTCATCTGAACATCACTCAGGGCCTTTTCATCTGAACATCACTCAGGGCCTTTTCATCTGAACATCACTCAGGGCCTTTTCATCTGAACATCACTCAGGGCCTTTTCATCTGAACATCACTTTGCTGTTTTATTGATTAATAAAACACAGAATATAAATCAGAAATACAAACAGTAAAAAATTCCCCCATTAAAACCCATTCAAAGCAACAATTACAAAAATACAAATCACACATTTTATCAACGAAACATGATCCATGTTCGCACTGAGGGAACATTTAGGCACCTGAGCTCACCTGGCGTACCTGTGCTCACCTGGCGTGCCTGTGCTCACCTGGCGTACCTGAGCTCACCTGGCGTACCTGTGCTCACCTGGCGTACCTGAGCTCACCTGGCGTACCTGTGCTCACCTGGCGTACCTGAGCTCACCTGGCGTACCTGTGCTCACCTGGCGTACCTGTGCTCACCTGGCGTACCTGAGCTCACCTGGCGTACCTGTGCTCACCTGGCGCACCTGAGCTCACCTGGCGTACCTGAGCTCACCTGGCGTACCTGTGCTCACCTGGCGTACCTGAGCTCACCTGGCGTACCTGAGCTCACCTGGCGTACCTGTGCTCACCTGGCGTACCTGTGCTCACCTGGCGCACCTGAGCTCACCTGGCGTACCTGAGATCAAACCCTGAGACATTTCATCAACAGCAGCTTCTCAAACTAAATCAAATACAGAAATCAATGTTTTAAAGAATATGTATTATTTATTCATTTAGTATTTAATTGTTATCTTTTTCAAAATGTAATTAAATATCACATTTTCTCCCAATTTTGTATTTATTCAAAACACTATATTTTTTAAAGCTCAAAATAAACCGGTCTCATTGAAAGTCGTTTTGTTCAATCTGCTCTGTGGTTATTTATAGTTTTAAGGTTTCAAACAAAAACACATTTCAGCAGTTTCTCTAATAATTAAAAACATGAGAACATTTGGTTTAATTATTCATTTATCTCCGGTTCTTCAGACGAGGACGACTTCAGTTTGCCATCAAAAACTCTCTAATAGTTCATTCAGTTCCTCTGAGCCGAGTCGTCCTGCTCGTTAAGACGCTCGTTAAGACCCTCGTTAAGACCCTCGTTAAGACCCCTCGTTAAATCCATTTAGACGTCCATCGTTAAAGAAACCCAACCAGTATCTCCGGGTTTAAAGTCGCCGTCTGGATTAAATCCCATTTCCCCCCCGAGGCTACGTGGCCCCGGCCGGACTGACGGGGCGCTCTGATTGGTCGGGCAGGCAGAGGGGGCGTGGCTTGTCCTCTGAGGCGTTCAGGTGTCGGCGGCAGCGTCGGATCCCGGTGATCGCAGAGATCACGGCGGCGCTGGCCAGCAGGGCGGCGCTGCTGAGGAAGAACGTCGGAGAGTAACTTCCTGTGACGTCCACGAGCCAACCTGCAGGAAGAGAGGACGTTTGTATAACATTCATTTATAACTTTATATGATTTTAACTGAGGTTCATTAAGACACATACAAAATACTTATTTTAACGACATTAATGAAGTCACATACTTACGTCAACATACAGTGACTAGTGACTAGAGCGCGACCGCACACTTATAAAGAAAACCCATTAACCAGGCTGAGTGTGATTCTGTTTATTTGTACTTTACTTGAATGACCATCCGTTGGCTGTTATTGATCATTGTGGAGACGAGACAGACATGTTCCTGTTGTTTTGTATTATAGCAGCTATCGGATGGAATCAATACATGTCCGACTCACAAGAAGAATCATAATGACAAATAAAATGTGTCTGGAGAAAACGGCTTCTGCCACAATAGGATAGCAACAGATGTGCCAGTGATGTTGAACCTCAGATGTCGGACAGTCCTTGAACACACCGTACGTGTAAATCAGGGGCGTCCAAAACCTTTTTCAGCGAGGGCCACACACAGAAAAACATACGAAGGGCTGGGCCGCTCACTAGAGGTGCAGCTCATTCCTCACAACAGGAGCTTGATGATAATAAGAGGAAATATGAAGGGTATTTCAAGCTTGTTATGTGAATGTATTATTGGGCTTTTCTCTTATCAAGATAGATTTGTTAGAACATGTTTTCAACTTGAATTGACTGAAAGTGGTCTCAACACATGAACACTACTGAGTAATATCTGTTTCCATCTATATTTAAGATCAATACAAGTTTCTTTTTGGGGCCGCGTTCCATTACACTTTGTGAATTTGCTGAGGGACGATTCAAAATGGCCCCCTGGTTTAAAGCTAATCTGCGTGTCTCACCTCCGACCGGCGGGCTGAGCAGGTAGGGGATGGCGTGCAGGAAGTAAACCACTCCGAGCGCAGAGGAAAGGTACGGCGCTCCGACCACGTCCGAGATCACCACCGGGATCAGAGCCACGTAGGCGCCGTCGAAGTATCCGTAGAGAACGGCGAAGGGAACGAGAAGCTGGAAGGATCGCAGCAGCGGGACGAAGAGGCAGCAGAGACCCTCCATCGCTACCGCTAGCACGTAGCACGGCAGCCGGTACGCCTTCAGACACCTGGGACACAAAACAACGGCACTTGATGTTGGCTCGTAGCAGAAGGACTTTAGTAAGAAGAAAATAATCATATTTAAACATTTGAAATGCCATCTTTGTTATGTTAAGTTAAGTAAGCACGTAGCACGTAGCACGCTGGGCAATGACGACTTATTTTGAACAAACTTTTATTTACAAAGTGACAATGATTTGTGTATCCTGATTACGTCATCCCGTTACTTGTCACCTGTTACCCCCCAAACTCCCAACCCCCCCCCCCCCCCGTACCTCCTGTCGGTGAGCCACCCGAAGGTGACGTTCCCCACGATGTCCAGAACCCCGAGGATGGACATGAGGAACGCCGCCTGCTGGTGTCTGACGCCGGCGCTCAGCGCGTAGGGGACCAGGTACACGAAGGGGAGGCTGCAGCCGCTGGCCAGGAACAGGAAGGACACGGCCAGGCACAGGAAGTCCGGCAGCAACAGGAAGCGGAACTCCTCGCTGGACAGGAAGCAGGAAGTGAAGCAGCGCCTCCTCTGCGCCGACGGGGGGGCGATGGTGGTTTCTGGAGACTTGATGATGTCATCCGACTCTCTGAGCTTCAGGGCGAGCTCAGCGTCTGAGACGAGTCCTGAGACAGGTGGAGGAGAACGAGGCGTCAACGTCTGAAAGAACTCAACCTCTTTCTCCCTGAAGCTCTTTGTACAGAACATGTGTCCCCTCTTCCTCATGTCTCTTCTACATCAACATGTGTCCCCTCTTCTTCATGTCTCTTCTTCATCAACATGTGTCCCCTCTTCTTCATGTCTCTTCTACATCAACATGTGTCCCCTCTTCCTCATGTCTCTTCTACATCAACATGTGTCCCCTCTTCTTCATGTCTCTTCTTCATCAACATGTGTCCCCTCTTCTTCATGTCTCTTCTACATCAACATGTGTCCCCTCTTCTTCATGTCTCTTCTACATCAACATGTGTCCCCTCTTCCTCATGTCTCTTCTACATCAACATGTGTCCCCTCTTCTTCGTGTCTCTTCTACATCAACATGTGTCCCCTCTTCTTCATGTCTCTTCTACATCAACATGTGTCCCCTCTTCTTCATGTCTCTTTCTACATCAACATGTGTCCCCTCTTCTTCATGTCTCTTCTTCATCAACATGTGTCCCCTCTTCTTCATGTCTCTTCTACATCAACATGTGTCCCCTCTTCCTCATGTCTCTTCTTCATCAACATGTGTCCCCTCTTCCTCATGTCTCTTCTACATCAACATGTGTCCCCTCTTCTTCATGTCTCTTCTTCATCAACATGTGTCCCCTCTGTGGAAAGAGACTCTGATCAGATTTTGGCCACTTGATGTCATAACGATGTTTTGTCTTGTGTAACCATTAGCCAATCAGCAACCAAGGTAACCCCCCCCCCCCCCCCCCTTATCACCTGAATCTCCTCCTAGAGCACCATTGAGTTCTTTGTAACCAAATCTCTCTCAGAGGGGGCGTGGGGAGGGGCTCCTTATTTTCATCTAAAGTAACAGACAGAGAATCAGCACTTTGGAAACAGGGCTGAAACAGAGGGGATTATGGGTAATGCTGCAATGATCTGTTTGGTGTTTCAGCCAATCAGAGACAGGCTCTGGATATATCTGAGACCTGTGACATATTGATGAAGAGGAGGATGATAGGGGACCTTTAATGCATCCACTAGAGCAGTACAGGAAGTGAGACCTCCTGTAGCCTCACCTGGTTTCTCCCCTTCTTCCTCGTCCTCCTCCTGCGCTGTGATTGGTCGCATCAGCGCCCCACAGACGCACAGATTGGCCACGAAGGCGCTCAGCACCAGCAGCGCCCCCCCTCCAGGAGTACCGCTCGATCAGCAGCTGCACCGCCGGCGCCAGCACGAAGGTCCCGATGCCTGAGCCCGACATGGCCAGCCCGTACGCCAGCGCCTGCCTGCGCCCGAAGTAACAGCCCACCATCGCTATGGCCGGCGTGTAGCAGAGCGCGAAGCCCAGGCCTGAGGGGGGGGGGGGGAACACTGAGTCATGGTTCTGTCAGGACCCCCATAGTGAGTGTGTGTGTGTGTGTGTGTGTGTGTGTGTGTGTGTGTGTGTGTGTGTGTGTGTGTGTGTGTGTGTGTGTGTGTGTGTGTGTGTGTGGGTGTGTCTGTGTGTGTGTGTGTGTGTGTGTGGTGTGTGTGTGTGCATCTGTGTGTGTGTGTGTGCGTGTGCGTGTGCGTGTGTGTGTGTGTGTGTGTGTGTGTGTGTGCGTGTGTGTGTGTGTGTGTTGAAGTAAAAAGATATGATTCTACACTGTATTGAAGTAAACATGTATTATTTTGAATTGTATTTTAGTGAACATGTATTGTTTGAACTGTTTTAAGTAATCACAACTGTTTTAAGTAATCACCACTGTTTTAGGTAATCACATATATAGAAATGATATTCTCTCTTACAACTCACTGACCCAGGGATCTTGTTTCACACACACACATCTCCTCTCCTCTACACCAGATGTTGTTTTTAAAGGTCGTTAAAGACATCATTAAATATCTGGACAAAGGTTTAAATGTCGGAGAGGGAATAGTTTATGTGAAAAAACAACCCATGGGAAGGTAAGGGAGTGAAGATCGGGACGGAGATAAGGGTTGACTTTTGACCTTGTGAAACTTTGGAATTTCACGTTCTGGTCAGAACTATTGAACCCGACCAGAAGTGAATCCAGCCAGTAAAAACACTTGGGGGGAGGTGAGCAGCTCAGACAGCTCCTCCTCACGGACTCTCTCATTCGCTTTGGAATGAAAGGGGAAGGGAAAATTAAACACATCTCCGCCCCAAAATATAGATATGAATACTGTTGGTTTTGTATGTAAAAATGCTTTTTGGTTTGGTGAGTGGCTGGTCCCGACATCTGTGTCCGCATCGCATCACAAACCTGAAGTCCGGAGTACTCTGTAAAACTTGTATATGTGTTTGGTTTCCTACCAGAAGTAAACTCAGATAATTGGTATAACTTTTGATTCCGGTGTTTTCAATTCCTTTCTTTATTTAATAGAGATTTCAGCCTCATCCAACGAACGGCGCGTAGCAGAGGGGGCCACCACAATAGGTGTTCTGCTCCAACAAGTGGTGACCCCGACGTGATGAGTGCTGATCTCTAGAAAGGGACACCGATAGCCAGGGGACGGAATCCAGTCCAGGGGGAGGACACAGAGATACTGGTGACAACTAAACCAATGGCCATATACAAAAGGTGAGCAGACACCTGTTTTGACTATCAAAAATCTGTGATTGATTATACTAAAACATTTAGAGTTGTCAGCAGCGTTCTCAGTGTTCTTAGTCACGGTGGGAAATACAATACATATTCCAAGTTGGGGATATTGGGGAAGTGCTTAGAGAAGGGTATTCAGTCCTGGACCTAGAGCAAAAATAGTGTTTGAGAGAGGCGGGTAGGTCAGTCCCGGCCCTTCACTCACTAAGAAACGAAGACTGCAAGGCTGTAAAAGATGTATAGGTTAAATTCCCCGTAAGTCAAAATAACATTGATTAATACGGTTGCCTTGCCGTGCTTTAATTAAAGGCTGCAAAGGTGTAAAAAACAGATGGGTTAAATTCCCCGCAGATCATGATAAGATTGATTAATGCGGTTACCTTTCGTGGTGCTTTAAATGTATAAAATGTCTGTAATTGTTATATGGTGGGTGATAGAGGAGGAGAGAGACGCGACCTCCAACTAATTATTTGGAACGACCGAAATCTCATCACAAAACTGCTGTGGGGTTAATCAGGCTCATTAAACGTGACGATAAAGAGATTTTGTTGACTGAGTTTCGACTCCGTGCCTGAAGCCGCAATCACCGTGAGGAGGTTGTAGAAGCTTGCTTCAGGAAGTCACGCTATCTGTTGAAATATACATCGCACAATAAAAATTTGCCTGACTGTATGAGATAAAATGTGTGTGAAAACAGTACGAAGTCATAGTCTGGAAGGCTGAATGTGGCGATAAAGGATTTTTGTGGTTTGGGATTATACTCCATGTAAGCGTCGCATCTCTAAAGAGGGGTGTCGAAGGGCGCTTAAAAAACCGCAATTATCTGTTGTAATAAACATCGTACAAAAAAGCCGGACAGACTGTATAAGGGAACAAACTCTGTGTGATTTTTTACGTCAAATCTGTGTAATAATTGAAATAAAAGCATAATTGACACCAGTGGGGACAAAGTTGCTGAGTATAGTGAGTGGGGGACGGCTTCATTCATGGTCAGCTGCTGCCCTCTGGTGGCGAACAGGGAGTGCTACAACATTCTGAAAAAATACATATTGAACATTTAGAATTAAAAGCAATATTTGCCCAGTATATTAAATAAATACAAACGAACACGTATCAACATAAGTCAGATAATATAAACGAGGTCAATCATGGAAGAAGGCTGACATTTAATGCCTGATATATAAGTAATAATAATATATAATATATAGCTGATATTAAATAACTGATGTATAAGGCTCGATATTTCTGAAAATAAGAACACTGTTAACGGCGTTCTATTTCAGAAAAAGGGGGAAAAGGATGGGATATACATCAGACAATATGTATGTGAGATTATTACGTTTTTAGGAGAAATTGATACATTTAAAATAATCTAGCTTTGGTTATTTTTTGTTTTGTTTGTTTGTTCCTTTTTTGTTTTATTTTTGTTATATTTTTTATTTTTTATTTTTATCTTTTATTTTTTATTTTATTTTTTGTTTATTATTTTCTGCATAGTCTCTTGTCCACACTCCAGTCTAGTTGGTGCCGCCAATAAACACTAAAGAAGTAGAAGAGATGAGTTCAAAACCATATTTCCAGCAACTTAAGGGCTTGGTATGAGACTTCTCCACACAGGCTGCTGACGCCAAAGGGGGAACCGAGAAACACAAGGCCAACACAGCAGATTACGTCTGGTTGGAGGGGACCTCCCATGCCGTCCGCCTAGATGGAAAGGGAGACAACTGGTACCACTGGAGCCAGTGTGCGGTCGGGAAAAACACCTGCGAGGACCCTAGACGACATCAGGACAGATTTGGCCCTCGTCGCGAGGACCCTAGACGACATCAGGACAGATCTGGCTCTCGTCAAGGCAGTCGACCCAGGAGGCGCCATCAGCGGACCAGAGGAGGAGGATCGGGAGGACATCTCTCCAGCAGTCGACCCGGAAGCCGCCATCAGCGGGCCAGAGGAGGAGGATCGGGACATCTCTCCAGCATCGACCCGGAGGCCGCCATCAGCGGGCCGGGGGGAGGACAATCCGGACACATCTCTCTAGAAGGCAGCCCAGAAGCCGCCGTCAGCGGGCTGGGGGGACGAAGACACGGCAAACCAAGACGGCACAGGGAACTCCATTCCCCGCTGAAACAGGTTGATATAGCCGGTGTGGAACTTTGTCTGAACAATCCATTTTTTGGAGGAACTTTCAACTTTATTTTTATATCCCATAATTTAAGGGATTTGTATTTTTTTATTCTACAGAACTATGTGTTACCAAAAGAGGGAAAAGTTTAATAATGTCTTTTCTAATTTCTGTGGCTACTTTTATTGCCATTTTAGTGACATGTGGTTGTTGTTGTGTGCCTTGTATCCGCTCATTGTGTGTTAGACTCATCAGTTCCACCATTGAGGGAAAAGCTGCCCCTTCCCCTTCGTACCGAATGCACTTGTTGGCTTATGCGTCGGAGGGAGAAGAGTAAGATGACTCAGCCGACAAGGACGAACTTTTTTAGACATATTTTATTCTCCCTCCACTGTCATAAGAAGTTGTTGTTGTGGACTGTTCCTAAAGGTTTAAAGTGCTCTACATCCCAGCTTCTGATGGGTTTATATAAATGTTGGGACAGACACAGTAAGAAAAAAATTGACAGTGGTAATGTTTCAAATGCTATATGTTGATCTCGTGAGGTGAGATCAAAAGAGGGATTGAAGTAAAAAGATATGATTCTACACTGTATTGAAGTAAACATGTATTATTTTGAATTGTATTTTAGTGAACATGTATTGTTTGAACTGTTTCAGTAATCACAACGGTTTTGGGTAATCACATATATAGAAATGATATTCTCTCTTACAACTCACTGACCCAGGGATCTTGTTTCACACACACATCTCCTCTCCTCTACACCAGATGTTGTTTTTAAGGTCGTTAAAGACATCATTAAATATCTGGACAAAGGTTTAAATGTCGGAGAGGGAATAGTTTATGTGAAAAACACCCATGGGAAGGTAAGGGAGTGAAGATCGGGACGGAGATAAGGGTTGACTTTTGACCTTGTGAAACTTTGGAATTTCACGTTCTGGTCAGAACTATTGAACCCGACCAGAAGTGAATCCAGCCAGTAAAAACACTTGGGGGAGGTGAGCAGCTCAGACAGCTCCTCCTCACGGACTCTCTCATTCGCTTTGGAATGAAAGGGGAAGGGAAAATTAAACACATCTCCGCCCCAAAATATAGATATGAATACTGTTGGTTTTGTATGTAAAAATGCTTTTTGGTTTGGTGAGTGGCTGGTCCCGACATCTGTGTCCGCATCGCATCACAAACCTGAAGTCCGGAGTACTCTGTAAAACTTGTATATGTGTTTGGTTTCCTACCAGAAGTAAACTCAGATAATTGGTATAACTTTTGATTCCGGTGTTTTCAATTCCTTTCTTTATTTAATAGAGATTTCAGCCTCAATCCAACGAACGGCGCGTAGCAGAGGGGGTGGCTATCAGCCACCCCAATAGGTGTTCTGCTCCAACAGTGTGTGTGTGCGTCTGTGTGTGTGTGTGTGTGTGTGTGTGTGTGTGTGCGTCTGTGTGTGTGTGTGTGTGTGTGCGTGTGTGTGTGTGTGTGTGTGTGTGTGTGTGTGTGTGTGTCTGTGCGTCTGTGTGTCTGTGTGTGTGTGTGTGTGTGTGTGTGTGTGTGTGTGCGTCTGTGTGTGTGTGTGTGTGTGTGTGTGTGTGTGTGTGTGTGTGTGTGTGTGTGCGTCTGTGTGTGTGTGTGTGTGTGTGCGTCTGTGTGCGTCTGTGTGTGTGTGTGTGTTTGTGTGTGTGTGTGTGTGTGTGCGTCTGTGTGTGTGTGTGTGTGTGTGTGTGTGTGGTGTGTACCTGTCAGGACCCCCATGGTGAGGTACAGCAGCTCCAGGCTGTTGGAGAAGGAGCTGAGCAGCAGCCCGACGGAGGAGAGGAGCCCCCCCCCCATCACCGCCACCCGAGGGGACCACCGGTTCCCCACCAGACTGCCAACAGGAGCTACACACACACACACACACACACACACACACACACACACACATACCATGTTTACATCACTTCAGGGGACATTCCATTGACTTGCATGCATTGGAGACCCTAACCCAATCCATTTGAGTGATCCTCCTCATCTGGACCTTTTCTCTGGTGTGCTCCATGTTTTTACCTTATTTATTTTAATAGTGTTTATATTTATTTCTTACATGTTTTATCCCTTGTATGGATATATGTGCATGTTTTTAACTTTGATTGATGTATTACCTGTAGGCCCGCAGAGAGACCCTCTTCACCGCCCTGCCACCTTCTGAATAAACAGAGCAACTCAAACACGTGTCCTTTGAAGAGTCCTTTGAAGAGTCCTTTAAAGAGTCCTTTGAAGAGTCCTTTAAAGAGTCCTTTGAAGAGTCCTTTAAAGTGTCCTTTAAAGAGTCCTTTGAAGAGTCCTTTAAAGAGTCCTTTGAAGAGTCCTTTAAAGAGTCCTTTGAAGAGTCCTTTGAAGAGTTCTTTAAAGAGTCCTTTGAAGAGTCCTTTAAAGTGTCCTTTAAAGAGTCCTTTAAAGAGTCCTTTGAAGAGTCCTTTAAAGAGTCCTTTGAAGAGTCCTTTGAAGAGTCCTTTAAATAGTCCTTTGAAGAGTCCTTTAAAGTGTCCTTTAAAGAGTCCTTTGAAGAGTCCTTTAAAGAGTCCTTTGAAGAGTCCTTTAAACGTACCAACCTCCATCTTATACCCCTTTCACACCAACGGTGTTTCAGGGCCGGTTCGGTGCTGGTGCTTGAAAAGCACCGGGTTTTCCTGTTCACACCGCAGCGGAGCAGCGTCATAGCTCCGGAATCCGGTTCGTTTCGAGCACCAAAAAGTTGTCCGTCTAGAAGCAAGAACCGCATACGTCACGCTTACGTCGGAGGAGGGCGAGATTAACCTGAGCTAACACTTAAGGCGAGTACGGCAAATAAAAGTTGTAACAAGCAGTAGTGCTGAGCAAAGTGACTAGAACGCAACCACACACTTGTTAAAAAAAAACACACTTTATAAAGTCAGGCAACACTAACGTGTGATTCTGTTTATTTGTACCTTACTTTGACCATCCGTTCGCTGTTATTGATCATTGTGGAGAGCAGGCAGACGTTTGTTATTATAGCAGCTATCGGATGGAATCAATACATGGGCTGCACAGGTTGTCATGTCCGACTATCACAAGTAGAATCATAATGAAAAAATACGTCGGTAAAAAGTGCCTGTAGAAAACGGCTTAGCAAGTAGTCAGTTTAGCTTCGGTTGCTATGCTAACATCACCCATGTTATACCAGAAGAAACTTTCATAACAGCGTTGTGATGCCAAACAGCGTCAATTCAGACTGACAACCAAACAGCGTCAATTCAGACTGACACACATTCACTTAAGGGGAACTGGGGATATGTATCAGCTGCTTGTGTGACAGTCAGACAGTGAATACTTTAGAGCCGTGTGAGCTAACCCGGAGCTAACGGGAGAATACACTCCCGTTGAAGAGCAGCCGGCCAGCACTGCAGCGGTCGGTAAATGAAACACATTAATAAACAATGAACCACGGCACTCTGGAGAAAAGTATAAGGTTGGAGAAGTCGTTATTTAATTTAATCTGGCTTCGTATGATTAAAAGCAACGCAGTCCCCGGCCCGTTGTTGTTGTGAAGTGAGCTCCGGCGTTGGGGAGAAACTCAGCGACGTAAACTGTGACGTCATGACGCAGCAGCGGCAGCACCAGTCGGGCTCTGAGCGGTGTGAAAAGAGCCGGCGCTAAACCGAAGAACCGGTTCTGAACCAGAAAAGCTCTAGCACGGAGCTTGAACTGGAGTTGCGTTGGTGTGAAAGGGGCATTAGTGGTTTTTATCTATCAGTGGCATCTAGCTCATTTTGATGCTGTTGTGCTAACCCGGCGTGCCCCTTCCCCCTTTTGTTTATTATCACTCTTATTATTATTATCTTAATAAAACCCCTGTTACTTTTACAATTATTATTAATAATTAATTAATTAATTGATTGTAATTGTTGGGAAGATTGTTTTAATTGCACTTATTTTATTATTGCACTTGTGTTTACTTTCACTTTCACTTTTAATTGTATTTTATGCATGGTTTGAACTAGAGTCACTTTGAATTAACCCTTTAGATCCCCCCCCCCATTTAAGGTATTCTACTGATTCTATAGTGACGAGCGACATACACACACACACACACACCTGCACACGCACACACACACACCTGCACACGCACACACACACCTGCACACGCACACACACACCTGCACACGCACACACACACCTGCAGACGCACACACACACCTGCAGACGCACGCACGCACACATACACGCCCCCCCTCCAGAGACCCTGGGATGGGGAGATCTGCTTTTAAACATACTCTGCCCCGTCCTGCACTTTCTAACCAGTCTTTTCTTCTATCAGAGCTTTTAGATCCTTATGGAGTTTTTTAATGTTTCTTTAAACACCCCCAGCTACCGAGAGCCAGCGCACCACGCAGTTCTCCTCCGGAGCTCTACGCTCTTCTCTAACCCTAACCAAGTCTTCACCCTAAAATGAATGATTCCCCTGATGGGGACCTCCATTATGTGTAAACAGATGTAGGTCCCCACAAGGATAGTAATGCTAGGCCACACACACACACACACAGTATATTAGGACTGTGATTACTTTGCACACAGCTAGAAAATGAAAAAACAGACATTTCCTAAATGTATACTTTCCAACGCTCCCTGATTGCATCATAATGTGTGTGTGTGTGTGTGTGTGTGTGTGTGTGTGTGGTGTGTGTGTGTGTGTGTGTGTGTGTGTGTGTGTGTGCTCACCACACAACATGGTGGTGCAGTCCACCAGGCTGTGGATCCAGGCCGTCGCTGCGTAGTCTGCTCCGAACTCAGCCTGAAACTCCAGGAAGAAGATGGAGATGCACCTACACACACATAAACACATACATTAACACACACATTAACACACACATTAACACACACATAAACACACACATTAACACACACATTAACACACACATTAACACACACTCCAGAGTTTACTTCACTAAGCATTAGCGACATTACAAAAGGCCTCATTATATTGATATGTGATATCTGTTAGGTTCAGTTTGAGTGTCCTTAAGGTCATTCAACAGAAGCGCTGAGTCAGCTTTACACCAGAGAGAGAGAGAGTGTGTGTGTGTGTGTGTGTGTGTGTGTGTGTGTGTGTGTGTGTGTGTGTGTGTGTGTGTGTGTGTGTGTGTGTGTGTGGGTGTGTGTGTGTGTGTGATGTAGAAGGTTTGGACACATTGACAGGTGATCTCTTTAAAGGGTAACTTCCTGGTTTAACCTGAGTATTGTTTTTGAACTCGGTCCAGAAGCAGCCGTTAGAGTCTGACCTCAGAGACACAGGAGGACATGGGGAACGTTTGGAGAAAAAAGCCGTAATAAACTATTAAAAATAGGGCGAAATATTTACTCTCCTAATTTTAAAAGTAACTTCAGTATCTTCTTGCTCCACCAGTATTCAGAGCGTGTTCAGAGTGTGTTTATAGCGTGTTCAGAGCGTATTCAGAGCGTGTTCAGAGCGTGTTTATAGCGTGTTCAGAGCGTATTCAGAGTGTGTTCAGAGCGTGTTTATAGCGTGTTCAGAGCGTGTTCAGAGCGTGTTCAGAGCGTGTTCAGAGCGTGTTTATAGCGTGTTCAGAGCGTGTTTATAGCGTGTTCAGAGCGTGTTCAGAGCGTGTTCAGAGCGTGTTTATAGCGTGTTCAGAGCGTGTTCAGAGCGTGTTCAGAGCGTGTTTATAGCGTGTTCAGAGCGTGTTCAGAGCGTGTTCAGAGCGTGTTCAGAGCGTGTTTATAGCGTGTTCAGAGCGTGTTTATAGCGTGTTCAGAGCGTGTTCAGAGCGTGTTCAGAGCGTGTTTATAGCGTGTTCAGAGCGTATTCAGAGCGTGTTCAGAGCGTGTTTATAGCGTGTTCAGAGCGTGTTCAGAGCGTGTTCAGAGCGTGTTCAGAGCGTGTTTATAGCGTGTTCAGAGCGTGTTCAGAGCGTGTTTATAGCGTGTTCAGAGCGTGTTCAGAGTGTGTTCAGAGCGTATTCAGAGTGTGTTCAGAGCGTGTTCAGAGCGTGTTCAGAGCGTGTTCAGAGCGTGTTCAGAGCGTATTCAGAGCGTGTTCAGAGCGTGTTTATAGCGTGTTCAGAGCGTGTTCAGAGCGTGTTCAGAGCGTGTTCAGAGCGTGTTTATAGCGTGTTCAGAGCGTGTTCAGAGCGTGTTTATAGCGTGTTCAGAGCGTGTTCAGAGTGTGTTCAGAGCGTATTCAGAGTGTGTTCAGAGCGTGTTCAGAGCGTGTTCAGAGCGTGTTCAGAGCGTGTTTATAGCGTGTTCAGAGCGTGTTCAGAGCGTGTTCAGAGCGTGTTCAGAGTGTGTTCAGAGCGTGTTCAGAGTGTGTTCAGAGCGTGTTCAGAGCGTGTTCAGAGCGTGTTCAGAGCGTGTTTATAGCGTGTTCAGAGCGTGTTCAGAGTGTGTTCAGAGCGTATTCAGAGTGTGTTCAGAGCGTGTTCAGAGCGTGTTCAGAGCGTGTTCAGAGCGTGTTCAGAGCGTGTTCAGAGCGTGTTCAGAGCGTGTTTATAGCGTGTTCAGAGCGTGTTTATAGCGTGTTCAGAGCGTGTTCATAGCGTGTTCAAAGCGTATTCAGAGCGTGTTCAGAGCGTGTTCAGAGCGTGTTCAGAGCGTATTCAGAGTGTGTTCAGAGCGTGTTTATAGCGTGTTCAAAGCGTATTCAGGGCGTATTCAGAGTGTGTTCAGAGCGTGTTTATAGCGTGTTCAGAGCGTGTTCAGAGCGTGTTCAGAGCGTATTCAGAGTGTGTTCAGAGCGTGTTTATAGCGTGTTCAAAGCGTATTCAGGGCGTATTCAGAGTGTGTTCAGAGCGTGTTTATAGCGTGTTCAAAGCGTATTCAGAGCGTGTTCAGAGCGTGTTCAGAGCGTGTTTATAGCGTGTTCAAAGCGTATTCAGAGCGTGTTCAGAGTGTGTTCAGAGCGTGTTTATAGCGTGTTCAAAGCGTATTCAGGGCGTATTCAGAGTGTGTTCAGAGCGTGTTTATAGCGTGTTCAGAGCGTGTTCAGAGCGTGTTCAGAGCGTGTTCAGAGCGTATTCGGAGTGTGTTCAGAGCGTGTTTATAGCGTGTTCAAAGCGTATTCAGGGCGTATTCAGAGTGTGTTCAGAGCGTGTTTATAGCGTGTTCAAAGCGTATTCAGAGCGTGTTCAGAGCGTGTTCAGAGCGTGTTTATAGCGTGTTCAAAGCGTATTCAGAGCGTGTTCAGAGTGTGTTCAGAGCGTGTTTATAGCGTGTTCAGAGCGTGTTCAGAGTGTGTTTATAGCGTGTTCAGAGTGTGTTCAGAGCGTGTTTATAGCGTGTTTATAGCGTGTTCAGAGTGTGTTCAGAGCGTGTTTATAGCGTGTTCAGAGTGTGTTCAGAGCGTGTTTATAGTGTGTTCAGAGCGTGTTCAGAGTGTGTTTATAGCGTGTTCAGAGTGTGTTCAGAGCGTGTTTATAGCGTGTTTATAGCGTGTTCAGAGTGTGTTCAGAGCGTGTTCAGAGCGTATTCAGAATGTGTTCAGAGTGTGTTTATAGCGTGTTCAGAGCGTATTCAGAGTGTGTTCAGAGTGTGTTCAGAGTGTATTCAGAGCGTGTTCAGAGCGTATTCAGAGTGTGTTTATAGCGTGTTTATAGCGTGTTCAGAGCGTGTTCAGAGCTGCAGAAAGCTGTAGGATCTCTATTAGAGGAGACCAGCACCAACATGTTCATCCCTCTGGGTCATATCTTAAAAAAGCAACTTGAATGTTCAAAGATTGCGATTGTGTTCCCAGATAGTCGAGGAAACCGTGTTTTCCCACAGAGTTTTAAACACTGGATCAATTTAGGATTTAGGAGATTCTGAAGAAGTCAAATGTTCTATTTAGAGAGGGAGATGCTGCCTTCAGGGTCCACTGTGTAGCTGTTAATGATGGTAATGATCTGCTTTGTGTGCAGAACTGAACAGAAGCTCCTGAACGCACCGTCAGTCCTGCAGAGATACTGCTGTTTGTTCAGGTGTCAGATTCTCACACTTAATACATCACAGCTGGTCAGTCATCACACACACACACACACACACACACACACACACACACACACACACACACACACACACACACACACACACACACACACACACAGGTCACTCAGTTCACAGAAGTTTTGCTGCAGGATTTTTACAGAATATTTTCCAGAAAATTGGGCAATTTCTGTCACATGAGCAAGAGAACTGACATGTACTATAATATTCTGCGTACTGTCCCTTTAAATATAATATAGCACTATATTACGTACTGTCCCTTTAAATATAATATAGCACTATAATGTGTACTGTCCCTTTAAATATAATATAGCACTATAATGCGTACTGTCCCTTTAAATATAATATGGCACTATAATGCGTACTGTCCCTTTAAATATAATATAGTGCTATAATGCGTACTGTCATTTTAAATATAATATAGCACTATATTACGTACTGTCCCTTTAAATATAATATAGCACTATAATGTGTACTGTCACTTTAAATATAATATATTTAACCCCAAAAGCCCCCCAGAGCCCCTTCCCCCTCCTCCCTTCTGTCAAGCGACTTTGTTAACTACTTTGAAAAAAAGGTTGATGATATTCGCTCTTCTTTTTCTGACCCACCTTTACTCACCGCTGGGTCACCTGACCCACCTTTACTCACCGCTGGGTCACCAGACCCACCTTTACTCACCGCTGGGTCACCTGACCCACCTTTACTCACCACTGGGTCACCAGACCCACCTTTACTCACCGCTGGGTCACCTGACCCACCTTTACTCACCGCTGGGTCACCAGACCCACCTTTACTCAACCGCTGGGTCACCAGACCCACCTTTACTCACCGCTGGGTCACCAGACCCACCTTTACTCACCGCTGGGTCACCTGACCCACCCCTTTACTCACCGCTGGGTCACCTGACCCACCTTTCACCCACTCACTAACCTCCTTTTCCCCTCTCTCTCCAAGTGAGGTTCTTAACCTCATGACCTCGGCCCGTCCTACCACCTGTCCTCTGGACCCTATCCCCTCAAACCTCCTTCAGACTATTGCTCCTGATATTCTACCGTTTCTCTCCCATCAACACTTCTCTAACTTCTGGTGACTTTCCAAACACTCTCAAGGAGGCAAGAGTAACCCCTCTCCTAAAGAAACCCACTCTCAACCCGTCTGATGTTATAAACTACAGGCCTGTCTCTCTCCTCCCGTTCCTGTCTTTAAACAACTCTCCTGTTATCTCCATCAGAACAACCTTCTGGATCCGCACCAGTCTGGTTTCAAGGCAGGTCACTCCACAGAAACTGCTCTCCTGTCTCTGAGGAACTGCACACGGGCTAAAGCAGCCTCCCTCTCCTCTGTCATCATCCTGTTGGACCTGTCTGCTGGCATTCGACACGGTGAACCATCAGATCCTCCTTCACACTCTCCAAGAACTTGGAGTTTCAGGCTCTGCACTTTCCCTCCTCACCTCATACCTCAAAGACCGCACCTACAGGGTAACTTGGAGAGGGTCCGAGTCCGACCCTTGTCAATTAACTACAGGGGTCCCTCAGGGCTCTGTTCTTGTCCCCTCCTCTTCTCCTTGTACACAAACTTGCTCGGATCTGTCATTAGCCCGCATGGTTTTTCATACCACTGCTACGCTGACGACACTCAATTCATTCTGTCCTCTCCCCGCTCAGAGACCCAGGTCGTCGCACGCATCTCTGCTTGTCTAGCGGACATCTCTCAGTGGATGTCTGCTCACCACCTCAAGCTCAACCTTGACAAGACTGAACTGCTTTTCCTTCAGGGAAAAGATTGTCCCACTCTTGACCTAACAATCAACATCGGCCCCTCTGTTGTTTCCCCGACTCAGACTGCAAGGAATCTGGGTGTGACCCTAGATAACAACCTGTCCTTCACTGCAAACATCGCTGTGCTACAACCCGCTGCCTGCAGATACACTCTTTCCAACATCAGGAGGATACGTCCCCTCCTGACCCAGAAAGCAGGTTCTGGTCCAGGCTCTCGTCATCTCACGCCTAGACTACTGCAACTCCCTCCTGGCTGGTCTACCTGCATGTGCCATCCCCACCTCTGCAGCTCATCCAGAATGCAGCGGCTCGTCTGGTCTTCAACCTTCCTAAATGTTCCCACACCACGCCGCTCCTCCGCTCCCTTCACTGGCTTCCAGTACTGCGAGAATCCACTTCAAGACACTGGTACTTGCGTACCATGCTGTGAATGGATCTGGCCCTTCCTACATCCAGGACATGGTTACACTGTACACCCCAGCACGTGCACTCCGCTCTGCATCAGCCAAACGGCTCGCTGCACCCGCACTGCGAGGGGGACCCAAGTTCCCATCAGCAGAAACACGTGGGTTTGATATCCTGGCTCCAACATGGTGGAATGAGCTCCCCATTGACATCAGGACAGCAGAAAGCTTACACATCTTCCAGAGCAGACTGAAGACTCATCTCTTTCCACTCCACTTCGAGCGATAGAATTACTAACAAAGCACTTATATACTAACAAAGCACTTATATACTAACAAAGGACAGGCTTATCTAAAGCCTGTTGAGTAGCACTTGAAATGTTTTGGCTCTATGAAACCTGATGTACTTATATGATTCTCTTTTCTTCAAGTTTGTATCTTGTTGGTCGAATGCACTTATTGTAAGTCGCTTTGGAGAAAAAGCCTCAGCTAAATGCAATGTAATGTAATATAATATAATGTAATGTAATATAGCGCTATAATGCGTACTGTCCCCTTTAATTGTAGTTACTTTGTGTTTTTTTCCGCTGCCTGTTTGATTGACACGAGATCTTTGTGTGGAAAATTTCTGACGGTCTTCAAACATGTTGTGACTGTAGTGAACCTGTGTGTGTGGTGTGTGTGTGTGTGTGTGTGTGTGTGTGTGTGTGTGTGTGTGTGTGTGTGTGTGTGTGTGTGTGTGTGTGTGTGTGTGTGTGTGTGTGTGTGTGTGTGTGTGTGTGTGTGTGTGTGTGTGTGTGTGCGTGTGTGTGTGTGTGGTGTGTGTGTGTGTGTGTGTGTGTTATCGACTTTAAACTATTCATAGCTGGGTGTCACAGGAGATGTGAGATTCTGCTTTCCTTCAATAATATCTATTTTAACTGACATCAACAAAACACACGCCGGATATAAGTCACACTTATACTTGAATAGATATTTTTATTAGGTAAACGTAGTAATACTACAGAGTGAAAATACTCAGTAAGAAGTCTATGATCAAGTAAGAATATATATAATCAGAAATGTACTTGAAGGGTTTATATCAGTATGTATAGTCTGCTCTGATTGGTTAGCTGGCTGGCTCTGTTGTGATTGGTCAACCCCTTAGAGATGTCCCGCCCCCTTAGCCTATCAGGGACAATGTGTTTGAGCGCTAGCCAATAGGAGCGTGAGTGTTCCGTAGTGATGTCACTGTGTTCCAGATGTAAACAAAGGAGTCCAATGGAGGCTCCAGCAGAGAGAGAGCTCCAGCAGAGAGAGAGCCCCAGCAGAGAGAGAGCCCCAGCAGAGAGAGAGCCCCAGCAGAGAGAGAGCCCCAGCAGAGAGCCCCAGCAGAGAGAGAGCTCCAGCAGAGAGAGAGCCCCAGCAGAGAGAGAGCCCCAGCAGAGAGAGAGCCCCAGCAGAGAGAGAGCTCCAGCAGAGAGAGAGCCCCAGCAGAGAGAGAGAGCCCCAGCAGAGAGAGAGCCCCAGCAGAGAGCCCCAGCAGAGAGAGAGCCCCAGCAGAGAGCCCCAGCAGAGAGCTCCAGCAGAGAGCCCCAGCAAGAGAGAGAGCCCCAGCAGAGAGAGAGCCCCAGCAGAGAAGAGCCCCAGCAGAGAGAGAGCCCAGAGCCCCAGCAGAGAGAGAGCCACCAGCAGAGAGAGAGCCCCAGCAGAGAGAGCCAGCAAGAGAGGCCCCAGCAGAGAGCCCCAGCAGAGAGCCCCAGCAGAGAGCCCCAGCAGAGAGCCCCAGCAGAGAGCCCCAGCAGAGAGAGAGCCCCAGCAGAGAGCCCCAGCAGAGAGCCCCAGCAGAGAGAGAGCCCCAGCAGAGAGCCCCAGCAGAGAGCCCCAGCAGAGAGAGAGCCCCAGCAGAGAGAGAGCCCCAGCAGAGAGAGAGCCCCCAGCAGAGAGAGAGCCCCAGCAGAGAGCCCCAGCAGAGAGAGAGCCCCAGCAGAGAGAGAGCCCCAGCAGAGAGAGAGCCCCAGCAGAGAGAGAGCCCCAGCAGAGAGAGAGCCCCAGCAGAGAGAGAGCCCCAGCAGAGAGAGAGCCCCAGCAGAGAGAGAGCCCCAGCAGAGAGCCCCAGCAGAGAGCCCCAGCAGAGAGATGAGCCCCAGCAGAGAGCCCCAGGGTCTGACTCGTTACAACAAGCACTTTGTACAGGAAAGAGACAAAATAGGGGGGGGGGGGTCTCAGCTAGAGTTTACATCACAGGCCATTGACATGTTGGCCAGACGGTGAAACTAACCCTAAGGTCATATGATAATACCTGACGACGGTCAAGCCTTCTGTCAGAACATTTAAACTGTGGGAAAAGTTACAGTGACATTATATATCATTACATAAGACTTGTGATTAATGTCTACGATAAATATATTAATTAAATATTATGTTAAAAAATACTTAAAGTACATGTACTCATGCCCACAGTGATGCATGCTGGGAAACAGCGTTGCTGACCCTTGCTCCTCATTGAAACACATGTTGTTTGGGTGTTTTCCATCAGTCCACAGCTGATAACCTCTGAGCCTCCTCCTGTACCTGAACGCACCGTCAGCTCTCACAGTGGAGCTGATAACCTCTGACCCTCCTTCTGTACCTGAACGCACCGTCACAGCTCACAGTGGAGCTGATGGCTCTGACCCTCCTCCTGTAAACTGAACGCACCGTCAGCTCTCACAGTGGAGCTGATAACCTCTGACCCTCCTTCTGTACCTGAACGCACCGTCACAGCTCACAGTGGAGCTGATGGCTCTGACCCTCCCCCTGTACCTGAACGCACCGTCACAGCTCACAGTGGAGCTGATGGCTCTGACCCTCCTCCTGTACCTGAACCGCACCGTCACAGCTCACAGTGGAGCTGATGGCTCTGACCCTCCTCCTGTACCTGAACGCACCGTCACAGCTCACAGTGGAGCTGATGGCTCTGACCCTCCTCCTGTACCTGAAACGCACCGTCACAAGCTCACAGTGGAGCTGATGGCTCTGACCCTCCTCCTGTACCTGAACGCACCGTCACAGCTCACAGTGGAGCTGATGGCTCTGACCCTCCTCCTGTACCTGAACGCACCGTCACAGCTCACAGTGGGGCTGATGGCTCTGACCCTCCTCCTGTACCTGAACGCACCGTCACAGCTCACAGTGGAGCTGGTGGCTCTGATCAAAGGGCTTCAGACACAGAGCAAACCTCTGGAGACGCATCCTGTACTCAAATCTTGTACTTCAGTAAAAGTAGAAGTACTCAGATCTTATACTTGAGTAAAAGTACTTAGTTACTTTACAGGTATACTTGTGGAATAGTAATACCATGTAAACAGCTTGGTGGGAATCGTGTCTTTTAATAAACAGAAGTATCCCTGCAATCTCTGTACAGTGTGTGTGTGTGTGTGTGTGTGCCTGTGTGTGGTGTGTGGTGTGTGTGTGTGTGTGTGTGTGTGTGTCACCTGGTCACAGCCCTGGTGCAGACGGTCACCATGAAGCGCAGCCGACGATCCACCCAGGCCCCAGCCTCCCTCCCTCCTCCCAGCAGCCATCACTGGAGCCACCGACGCTCTTCCTCAGGTTCAGATCAAAACGCAGTGGAGTGATAAAGATCCATGTCGGGGTCGTCAGGTCGAGGTCCAGTCCTTTCGTAGGAAGAGAGGGAAAGGCTTAAGATGTCTGCTTGCACGAAAAGTCTTAAAATCCTCCGCAGGCTGGAGGAAGGAGAAGCGTCTCTAAAGAGTTCAGTCTCTGAGAGCATGAAGGGAAAGATGGAATCCTCCGTTGGGGGGAAGGAAATGTCTTTCAACTCTTCTCACGTACAAAATGTAGAAAGTCCCAAGAGTTTTACTTATCAAAGAAAAGCAAGATGTGTGCGTAGAGGAAGAAACGCTCTAATCTTTGTTGTTCAAAGAAAGTGGAAAGTCTGAAATGTGAGCAGAAAGAAAACATTCAACACATCTGGAAAAGTCTGAAAATCCTCCGTTGGACGGTGAGGAACTCTTTAAAGCTTTTATCACGCAAAACATTTAAAAAGTCCCGAAACATTCACTTTTTTTAAAGAAAACAAAACATCACAAAGTATTTGGCTTTCTGCAGAAAACAAAGTGTGGAGCCGCTCAGTCTGAGACCCTAACCCTTCAGGAGGAAATGACATCTCATTCGTGTGGACAAGATTTAAGCTCAAGAGAAAGTCTTGGTGTTTAGTCTAGAGAAAGTCTAACTTACATTAGTCTAGAGAAAGTCTAACTTACATTAGTTTAGAGAAAGTCTAACTTACATTAGTCTAGAGAAAGTCTAACTTACATTAGTTTAGAGAAAGTCTAACTTACATTAGTCTAGAGAAAGTCTAACTTACATTAGTCTAGAGAAAGTCTAACTTACACTAGTTTAGAGAAAGTCTAACTTACATTAGTCTAGAGAAAGTCTAACTTACATTAGTCTAGAGAAAGTCTAACTTACATTAGTCTAGAGAAAGTCTAACTTACATTAGTTTAGAGAAAGTCTAACTTACATTAGTCTAGAGAAAGTCTAACTTACATTAGTTTAGAGAAAGTCTAACTTACATTAGTTTAGAGAAAGTCTAACTTACATTAGTCTAGAGAAAGTCTAACTTACATTAGTTTAGAGAAAGTCTAACTTACATTAGTCTAGAGAAAGTCTAACTTACATTAGTCTAGAGAAAGTCTAACTTACATAGTTTAGAGAAGTCTAACTTACATTAGTTTAGAGAAAGTCTAACTTACATTAGTCTAGAGAAAGTCTAACTTACATTAGTCTAGAGAAAGTCTAACTTACATTAGTCTAGAGAAGTCTACTTACATTAGTCTAGAGAAAGTCTAACTTACATTAGTTTAGAGAAAGTCTAACTTACATTAGTTTAGAGAAAGTCTAACTTACATTAGTTTAGAGAAAGTCTAACTTACATTAGTCTAGAGAAAGTCTAACTTACATTAGTCTAGAGAAAGTCTAACTTACATTAGTCTAGAGAAAGTCTAACTTACATTAGTCTAGAGAAAGTCTAACTTACATTAGTTTAGAGAAAGTCTAACTTACATTAGTCTAGAGAAAGTCTAACTTACATTAGTCTAGAGAAAGTCTAACTTACATTAGTCTAGAGAAAGTCTAACTTACATTAGTTTAGAGAAAGTCTAACTTACATTAGTCTAGAGAAAGTCTAACTTACATTAGTCTAGAGTTAGAAGTCTAACTTACATTAGTTTAGAGAAAGTCTAACTTACATTAGTCTAGAGAAAGTCTAACTTACATTAGTCTAGAGAAAGTCTAACTTACATTAGTCTAGAGAAAGTCTAACTTACATTAGTTTAGAGAAAGTCTAACTTACATTAGTTTAGAGAAAGTCTAACTTACATTAGTCTAGAGAAAGTCTAACTTACATTAGTCTAGAGAAAGTCTAACTTACATTAGTCTAGAGAAAGTCTAACTTACATTAGTTTAGAGAAAGTCTAACTTACATTAGTCTAGAGAAAGTCTAACTTACATTAGTCTAGAGAAAGTCTAACTTACATTAGTCTAGAGAAAGTCTAACTTACATTAGTCTAGAGAAAGTCTAACTTACATTAGTCTAGAGAAAGTCTAACTTACATTAGTCTAGAGAAAGTCTAACTTACAATTAGTTTAGACTAGAAAGTCTAACTTACATTAGTCTAGAGAAAGTCTACTTACATTAGTTTAGAGAAAGTCTAACTTACATTAGTCTAGAGAAAGTCTAACTTACATTAGTTTAGAGAAAGTCTAACTTACATTAGTTTAGAGAAAGTCTAACTTACATTAGTCTAGAGAAAGTCTAACTTACATTAGTCTAGAGAAAGTCTAACTTACATTAGTCTAGAGAAAGTCTAACTTACATTAGTTTAGACTAGAAAGTCTAACTTACATTAGTCTAGAGAAAGTCTAACTTACATTAGTTTAGAGAAAGTCTAACTTACATTAGTTTAGAGAAAGTCTAACTTACATTAGTCTAGAGAAAGTCTAACTTACATTAGTCTAAGAGAAAGTCTAACTTACATTAGTCTAGAGAAAGTCTAACTTACATTAGTCTAGAGAAAGTCTAACTTACATTAGTTTAGACTAGAAAGTCTAACTTACATTAGTTTAGAGAAAGTCTAACTTACATTAGTTTAGAGAAAGTCTAACTTACATTAGTTTAGAGAAAGTCTAACTTACATTAGTTTAGAGAAAGTCTAACTTACATTAGTTTAGACTAGAAAGTCTAACTTACATTAGTCTAGAGAAAGTCTAACTTACATTAGTTTAGAGAAAGTCTAACTTACATTAGTCTAGAGAAAGTCTAACTTACATTAGTCTAGAGAAAGTCTAACTTACATTAGTCTAGAGAAAGTCTAACTTACATTAGTTTAGACTAGAAAGTCTAACTTACATTAGTTTAGAGAAAGTCTAACTTACATTAGTCTAGAGAAAGTCTAACTTACATTAGTCTAGAGAAAGTCTAACTTACATTAGTTTAGAGAAAGTCTAACTTACATTAGTCTAGAGAAAGTCTAACTTACATTAGTCTAGAGAAAGTCTAACTTCCATTAGTCTAGAGAAAGTCTAACTTACATTAGTTTAGACTAGAAAGTCTAACTTACATTAGTTTAGAGAAAGTCTAACTTACATTAGTCTAGAGAAAGTCTAACTTACATTAGTTTAGACTAGAAAGTCTAACTTACATTAGTTTAGAGAAAGTCTAACTTACATTAGTTTAGAGAAAGTCTAACTTACATCAGTCTAGAGAAAGTCTAACTTACATTAGTTTAGAGAAAGTCTAACTTACATTAGTTTAGAGAAAGTCTAACTTACATTAGTCTAGAGAAAGTCTAACTTACATTAGTCTAGAGAAAGTCTAACTTACATTAGTCTAGAGAAAGTCTAACTTACATTAGTCTAGAGAAAGTCTAACTTACATTAGTTTAGACTAGAAAGTCTAACTTACATTAGTTTAGAGAAAGTCTAACTTACATTAGTCTAGAGAAAGTCTAACTTACATTAGTTTAGAGAAAGTCTAACTTACATTAGTCTAGAGAAAGTCTAACTTACATTAGTCTAGAGAAAGTCTAACTTACATTAGTTTAGAGAAAGTCTAACTTACATTAGTCTAGAGAAAGTCTAACTTACATTAGTCTAGAGAAAGTCTAACTTACATTAGTCTAGAGAAAGTCTAACTTACATTAGTCTAGAGAAAGTCTAACTTACATTAGTACATTAGTTAGAGAAAGTCTAACTTACATTAGTCTAGAGAAAGTCTAACTTACATTAGTTTAGAGAAAGTCTAACTTACATTAGTCTAGAGAAAGTCTAACTTACATTAGTCTAGAGAAAGTCTAACTTACATTAGTCTAGAGAAAGTCTAACTTACATTAGTTTAGAGAAAGTCTAACTTACATTAGTTTAGAGAAAGTCTAACTTACATTAGTCTAGAGAAAGTCTAACTTACATTAGTCTAGAGAAAGTCTAACTTACATTAGTTTAGAGAAAGTCTAACTTACATTAGTCTAGAGAAAGTCTAACTTACATTAGTCTAGAGAAAGTCTAACTTACATTAGTCTAGAGAAAGTCTAACTTACATTAGTTTAGACTAGAAAGTCTAACTTACATTAGTTTAGACTAGAAAGTCTAACTTACATTAGTCTAGAGAAAGTCTAACTTACATTAGTCTAGAGAAAGTCTAACTTACATTAGTCTAGAGAAAGTCTAACTTACATTAGTCTAGAGAAAGTCTAACTTACATTAGTCTAGAGAAAGTCTAACTTACATTAGTTTAGAGAAAGTCTAACTTACATTAGTCTAGAGAAAGTCTAACTTACATTAGTCTAGAGAAAGTCTAACTTACATTAGTTTAGAGAAAGTCTAACTTACATTAGTCTAGAGAAAGTCTAACTTACATTAGTTTAGAGAAAGTCTAACTTACATTAGTCTAGAGAAAGTCTAACTTACATTAGTCTAGAGAAAGTCTAACTTACATTAGTTTAGAGAAAGTCTAACTTACATTAATTTAGAGAAAGTCTAACTTACATTAGTCTAGAGAAAGTCTAACTTACATTAGTCTAGAGAAAGTCTAACTTACATTAGTTTAGAGAAAGTCTAACTTACATTAGTCTAGAGAAAGTCTAACTTACATTAGTCTAGAGAAAGTCTAACTTACATTAGTTTAGAGAAAGTCTAACTTACATTAGTTTAGAGAAAGTCTAACTTACATTAGTCTAGAGAAAGTCTAACTTACATTAGTTTAGACTAGAAAGTCTAACTTACATTAGTTTAGACTAGAAAGTCTAACTTACATTAGTCTAGAGAAAGTCTAACTTACATTAGTCTAGAGAAAGTCTAACTTACATTAGTCTAGAGCAGCGGTTTTCAAAGTGTGAGGCGCGCCTCCCCTGGGGGGCGCCAGAGAGCTTCAGGGGAGGCGCAGCGTGAGGAAAAAAAGAACGAGAAAAAGATTAATAAAGTGACACTTGCACACTTTTGGCTGTCTGTGGAGACCGAGTTCCCCCACCTCGCCAAAAAGGCTGTAACAGTGCTCATTCCCTTCACCTCCACCTACCTGTGTGAGTGGGGGTTTTCCGCATTGACTTTGATCAAAAGCAAGTACCGGTCAAGGCTGCAGCCAGAGGATGATCTGCGTTTATTCCTGCGAGCATCAAAGACGCAGACTCATTGTTCCCACTAAAGTAGGGGTGAGTGTAATAAGGAGGCAAAGTTGACGTTCAGTGTGTTGCCGGGAGCATATAAGCATATATATATCCACGATGTTGAAAATGTTAAAAATGTTAAAGGAAAATATGTGTTGAGAACACCGTGCGAAAATATACGGGTCGTGCTGCAGCTAGATTTGCCTGTCCTCTGTAAGAAGGTGTCGGCGACTGACATGCAAGGAAGAACGGCTGTCCACAGGCTGTTCCAACTTTAACAACTTTATTAACTTCCAAGGTAGTGAATTGAACATGCAATTGTAATTGGGTGTGCGGTATATTTTCAGGCACGCACACGCATGTTCCACAACACACAAACTGAACAACACTCAATTGTCCGATCACTACCAGTGTCCTTGCGATCTTGTAAGAACAAGTGTACGTTACTGATGCAATATGGTTGAGACCAGTCGGGCTTATTCTAGAGGGGTGCAAGGAATAGTCCGAGTAGTGGGGGAGTTTTATACAATATGTTTAAAACGTAAAGATACAAAGGTTTAAAAAAGTTATTGTTTAATGTTTTAAGGAGGGGACGCTACTCAGCCAATCAAATCGGTGCAGTCAGTGAGTCAGCACGATAGATTCAAACACACACAAGAGGAGAGAAACAGTCGGAGTAATTTCAAATGGCGAAAGGTAGACAGCGAAAACAGAGCATTTAATGACATTTAATGACATTTTCTCTTACTGGACCTCTTTGAAATGCAATTGAATACTCCTGCGTTATAGCAACAACAACAATAATAATAATAATAATAATAATAATAATAATAGCAATAATAATTGGGAGGGGGGGGGCGCGACTGTTCTTATGTTCTCTGAGGGGAGGCTCACCTTCCAACACTTTGAAAACCCCTGGTCTAGAGAAAGTCTAACTTACATTAGTTTAGAGAAAGTCTAACTTACATTAGTCTAGAGAAAGTCTAACTTACATTAGTTTAGAGAAAGTCTAACTTACATTAGTTTAGAGAAAGTCTAACTTACATTAGTCTAGAGAAAGTCTAACTTACATTAGTTTAGACTAGAAAGTCTAACTTACATTAGTCTAGAGAAAGTCTAACTTACATTAGTCTAGAGAAAGTAAACTTACATTAGTCTAGAGGTGAAGAGCCTCTCCTCAGTCAGGAGATAAAGTAGTCCCTCTCTCTGAGTGACACCCAGCGCTCTCACAGCTCTTCAGTTATAAGCGTTAAAAAGCGTCTGCAGTCAATAAGTCACCAGCTGACCCTCAATCATTAACCACAATCCTCGAACCAAGCGCTCCCTCCTGAATACCATCAACAACATGTGAGTTTCATTTACAGGAACCCCCCCCGGGCAGGGAGGAGGCGGTGTCAGGTTGCAGAAAAGAAGCGCTCCCTGAACAGACCAGTATAACCGCTCAGGAGTTATCTCCACCCCCTCCACCCCCCCACCCCCCCTCCAACCCCTCTCAGACAGCAGGGTATTTCTGTCTGAGGCTCAATGACAGAGACACAGGGTCAAGACCGGGGTCAACCAGGGTCAAGACCGGGGTCAACCAGGGTCAAAACCTGGACCAAGACAGGGGTCAAACAGGACCAGGGACAACAGAACCAGGGTCAACAGAACCAGGGTCAACATAACCAGAGTCTTGACCCAGGGTCAACAGAACCAGGGTCAACAGAACCAGAGTCTTGACCCTGGGTCAACAGGACCAGGGTCAAATAGATCCAGGGTCAACAGAACCAGGGTCAACAGAACCAGGGTCAACAGAACCAGGGTCAACAGAACCAGGGTCAACAGAACCAGTGTAAAACATGTTAGGATGAACAGTTATAGGCAGTCTCTGACTCTGGAACCCGAGCTGATGAACCTCAGATCAGGTTCAGGATCACCTGAAGCCGACTGGAGGTTCTACTGAAGAACTAAAGCTTTAATGAGTCTTTGATACAGAACCACAGCTCAGATACACCACAGATATACCCAGTGCTACGGGAAGGAGGGGGCTCAGTTTACTCAGATCAGTCTGTCTGAAGTACAAGACCTGAGTACTTCTACTTTTACTCAAGTACCAGATCTGAGTACTTCTACTTTTACTCAAGTACAAGATCTGAGTACTTCTACTCTTACTCAAGTACAAGATCTGAGTACTTCTACTCTTACTCAAGTACAAGATCTGAGTACTTCTACTTTTACTCAAGTACCAGATCTGAGTACTTCTACTTTTACTCAAGTACAAGATCTGAGTACTTCTACTTTTACTCAAGTACAAGATCTGAGTACTTCTACTTTTACTCAAGTACAAGATCTGAGTACTTCTACTTTTACTCAAGTACCAGATCTGAGTACTTCTACTTTTACTCAAGTACAAGATCTGAGTACTTCTACTTTTACTCAAGTACAAGATCTGAGTACTTCTACTTTTACTGAAGTACAAGTACCTTTTATTCTGAAAATGACTTCACCAGAACCGCCTTCTTGCACCTTTAATACAGAGCCGGTCTCCGCCCATCGCTCCGGGTCAGAACCCTTAGTCCCTCAGCTGTCTCAAGAACAAAGAGAACCAGAAAGAGAACAGAGACTGAAGGTCGGCTGTAAGAACTGAGTGTGAACAGACTCACTGTGGAGCAGGAGGAGACCCGCGAGTGGAGGAGGTCCCGCTGATCTGAAGACCTGATGGTGTTAAACCGGTGAAGCGCTGCAGGTAACAGGTGTTAACATGTACATACAGGTAGTAACAGGTGTTTACAGCAGAGTCACCTGATCCCTCCTCAGAGACAGGGAACCGGTTTGAGATCCACGTCAACAACAACTTGTGTTAGACCAGGAAACATTCATATGACATTACTGACATATTACAGTAAGTCAGGATTATAAATGACTCACATATGTTGGTCAGAAGAATAAAAGATATGAAATCATTTCTGATTATTATTTTTATTTTATTATTCATTTGTGTTTCTTATTTGCTATCATTGTATTAATGTAACAATGTAATGTCCCCTCTTTGGGACTAATAAAGGTTCTGGTTCTGGTTCTGATTCTGGTTCTGATTCTGGTTCTGATTCTGGTTCTGATTGTTGTTGTTGTTGTTGTTTTTGTTCTTGTTGTTGGTTTTATTGTCAGATATCTTTACATGTATGTGTTTGTATGTTGATGTATTTGAATAACTCCTGGTTTAACCTCCGTCCAGCTGGGGGCGCTCCAGCCAGTCTAAGCGGATCATGAACCGGATCAACAACATGAACCGGATCATCAACACTGGAGCTCCGGTTCTCCGCCGACATGTCCCCCTGCTCTCTGCCCGCTCACAGAGCTCTCCTCTCGGCCGTGTGTCTGCTGCTGCCCCCCCCTCTCCCTCTCCCTCTCCCTCCCGGAGGTCCCTCACATCGCCCGGTTCTTCGGCACCAAGACCCGGTATGAGGAGGTGAACCGGGCTCTGCTGCTGGACCCGCTGTGGGTGAACCGGTCCGTGCTGAGACCCCCTCCCGGAGAGAGCTGCTCCCCGGTGCACCTCACCGCCCTGATCCGCCACGGGAGCCGGTTCCCCACCGTGAAGAACATCCAGAGGATCCGGAGGCTCAGCGAGCTGGTGGCGGCCGAAGGGGGGGCCGCAGGGGGGGGAGCGACCGGAGGAGGGACCGGAGGGGGGGCCGCAGGGGGGGCCGCAGGGGGGGGGGGCGACCGGAGGAGGGACCGCAGGGGGGGGCCGCAGGGGGGGGAGCGACCGGAGGAACGACCGGAGGGGGGACCGGGGACTGGCTGCGGGAGATCCGGAGCTGGGAGAACTGGTACACGGAGGACATGGACGGTGAGACCCGGAGCAGGGGGGCAGAGAGGGACTAACATATAGCAGTCAGAAACCGCTTTCATATTAACGAAAATAATTAAATTACTAAAATATTTAAATTATACTTAAATATAACCTGTAAAAATGCTTTCATGTTAATGAAAATAATTATATTGTATTTCTAAATTATTACACAAAAACAATAATTATATTACTGGAAGAATTTGTATTTATAAAATATAACTGAAATAATTATAATATATAATATATTATATATATACATGTTATTAAAAAATATATAACAGATAATATTGATATGACTGAAAATACCTGTACCTGTACACCTGCCTGTGCGCGCATGCGCACTTGTGGCATTGTTTGTGATGACCTAATTAAAATAGCGTCCACCCAGTAAAAAAATCCCCACTACACCACTGGTTATATCTGTATTAATGATATATATATATATATATCTCTTCTCAGGGCAGCTGGTGGATAAGGGCCGGCAGGACCTCCGGCTCCTCGCCCAGCGGCTCCAGGAGCTGTTCCCCTCTCTTCTGTCGGAGCAGAGCAGCTTCAGCCTGAAGACCAGCTCCAAACACCGCTGTGTGAGCAGCATGGAGGCCTTCAGGGAGGGGCTGCAGGGTACACACACACACACACACACACACACACACACACACACACACACACACACACACACACACACACACACACACACACACACACACACACACACACACACACACACACACACACACACACACACACACACACTAGGGCTGTGCGATTATGGCATAAAATAATCATCACGATTATTGTTAGTCAGGTGTGTTTCATCCTCTCCAGTGAGCCAGAGTGCAGCTCGAGGGTGAGGGAGGATGTTGGAAAAACAGTCAGAATTTTGAGAACAAAATGATCTTCTAGCCAATGGGAGCGCAGTGTTCCTCACCCTCTCTCTCCCCCTGCAGTCGGGCGGTTATCTCACTCCGTCGACGACGAGCTGCTTCGGTTCTTCGAGCGCTGCCGTGGTTACGTGGAGGGTGTGGAGAAGAACCGGACGGCGCTGGTGGAGGTTCATCGGTTCAAAAAGGGGGGCGAGATGGAGGGGGTCCGGGGGAGGGTCGCTATGAAGCTGGGGCTCCCTCCCCACCTCCTCACACCAGGTACACACACACACACACACACACACACACACACACACACACCTCCTCTGTGTGTGTTTGATGAAGTTTGTCCCTCCTGGTCTCCCGTAGATCTGGTAGAAGCCGCCTTCTTCTTGTGTTCTTACGAACTCTCCATCCGGTCCCTGAACTCACCGTGGTGCTTCCTGTTCACTGAGGAGGACGCCAGGGTAAACCACACACACACACACACACACACACACACCACACACACACACACACACACACACAGAGTAATAATGATGTCATTATAATACCTGTCAGGTGTTGGAGTATAAGTCGGACCTGAAGCAGTTTCTGGAAGCGTTTCCACGGTCATGTGATCAGCGGTGTCTCCAGCTGTCCGTTATTCCACCACGTTTCAGAACGCTGGACAAAGCAGGACGCCCACGCAGGTACACACACACACACACACACACACACACACACACACACACACACACACACACCACACACACACACACACACACACACACACACACACACACACAGTGTTTGCATGACCTTTATTGCCCCTCAGAGCGACGGACGCCCCCCCCCGCCCTGACGGCCTCGGTGCTGCTGGGTCACGCCGAGACGCTGCTGCCCCTCCTCTCTCTGCTGGGGCTCTACAGGGACCCCCACCCCCCCACTGCTGACAACTACCAGCAGCAGCACGGTAACACACACACACACACACACACACACACACACACACACACACACACACACACACACACACACACACATATTGAAGTGTTAATGATGTAATGTTTGTTGTTAACCCGCAGGTCGTACTTTCCGCTCCGGGCTGATCGTCCCGTACGCAGCCAACCTGCTCTTCGTCCTCTTCGACTGTCAGCGCGGCCCTCGTCTCCAGCTGTTGCTCAACGAGAAGCCGGTTCGATTCCCCGGTCTGCCCCACGACGACGCGCCGCTGTACCGGGACGTCCGCGCCGCGTACCGCCCCCTGCTGGACGGCTGCGACTCTGCACGCGAGTGTGAGGGCCGGGGGGCCCGCGCACCCAACACGGAGCTCTGATTGGACGGGAGGAGGAGACATCTGACCAATGACATCACGAGGTTCTTAACTAACGTCTGTGAAATCTCCAAATACCAAGAAAACACGTTCGGTTCAATAACACGGGTCACATGACCTGCTTCAAACCATACATGTAGAATTTTATTTTTCCTGAAGGAAGCTTTTATCCCACGTGAGGCGTTCAAGGACCGTCTGAAAGTAGAAAATCCCCCAAATAATTTGTGTTTCCAGAAAAGTAGTTAGCGTTTAAAGTGAAAGTGGGAATATTAGACAAATTATGAATATTTTTACACAACCTTTGAATATTCTGAAAATGAAAATATTCCCCAAAAGAACCATGTTACTCTTTGGAGTAAATCTGGATAAAAATGTATATTGTGATTTCAAGGAGCCACCTGACCAACGACATCACGAGGTTCTTTATTAACCTGTGAAATCTCCAAATACCAAGAAAACACGTTCGGTTCATGTTGAATAACACGGGTCACATGACCTGCGTCACATGTACAATACGGGGTTAAATATGTACGGTAAGACTCTGCAGGGTTTATCTTCGTCTGCTTCTGAGTTTTGGTTTTAATGAAAGAAGCTTTTTTTTAAATAAAAGCTGTTCTAGCTGTTTCTAACGCAGGCTTCTGATTGGCTGATATTTGCCCAGAGACCTGCTCTCTGATTGGCTGGTTTGAGGAGAGGAGGACATCTGGCTGTTCGATGTCTTCTCTCTCCAGGTGGACTCACACTTCTTCTTCTGGTCATTAAAAAGAGTAGATCAACAGAAACGTCACTTTTTAAACATTGAAAGCACAAAAAAACTCTTTGAAAGCAGTTTTTTAAAGTGAAAGAGAGTCAGGAAGTGAGGAAGTGACGTTTAAAGGTTATTATCTGCAGGTTGTGTGATGCAGGCGCTTCAGGTTATATTCTTATTTATTCAGGAGGAAAGGGTTATGGGATGTGTTTGTATTGATCTTTCTCTTTGACTTCATGTTTTAGTGCCAAATGTTTGAAGCTTAAATTAAAACGTCTCAGAAATAAAACAAACTGTCGTCTTTTCTGTCTCAGAAATAACATGAAACTTCCTTTCAGTTAAAGTTAAAGGTCACCTATCGTGCTATTTTCAGGCAATAGGCGTGTGGCGCAGTGGACAGTGCGCTGGTGTTGGGATCAAGAACAGGTTCAAACCCCACTGCAGTCAGCATGTCGTTGTGTCCCTGAGACACTTCACCCAAAGTGCTCCTGTGGGGATTGCCCACAGTATTGAGTCTGTAAGTCTCTTTGGATAAAAGCGTCTAACAGGTGACATGTCATGTACTGTAATGTCAAATAGCATAGGTCTCAGATATATACAAATATATAAAAAACATGTCTGAAGTGTTTTGCTCCAAACACCAAACAGATCATTCTAGCCATGCCTCATATCCCTCTATTCCACTTCCTGTTTCTAAAGTGCTGATTTGGGGTATAAAGCTTTAAAAAGTAGGGGGCGGAGCTTATGCGGGACCCGGCAGCTACCGTCTAAACTAAATGCTGCCGTGATGAAACGCCATGTCATGGATTACCAAGGATTGTTTCTGAAACAGTATGGAGCTCAAAGGCTTTCTCTCTTGCCGGTTATACCACAAGGTGAGTTCCTTTTTATTTCCTGCTTCTTCACACACATGCTCTCCAGTACAGGTTAGCTCTGAGTGTTAGCCATGCTAATGTAAACAAATACCATATTACGTCCAAAACAGTCGGGCATTGTTTCTGATAGCAACGTTTCTGATAGGGCCGTGGGTCCACATTTCAGATATTACGTCATATCGGACGCAAATCTGGATCAGCTCCGTTGTTCCCCCGTTTTTAGAGATTTGGGTACGGAGGAAAAGAGAGAGGGTTTTATTTCCTGACGCTGCGTGAGTTCCCTGACACACCGGGGACACACCGGGGACACGGTGGGGATACACCGGGGACACACCGGGGGGGGACCGGGGACATGCCGGGGACACACCGGGGACACGGTGGGGACACGCCGGGGACACGCCGGGGACACGGTGGGGACACGCCGGGGACACGGTGGGGACACGCCGGGGACACGCCAGGGACACGGTGGGGACACGCCGGGGACACGGTGGGGACACGCCGGGGACACGGTGGGGATACACCGGGGGGGGAACCGGGGACACGGTGGGGACACGCCGGGGACACGGTGGGGACACGCCGGGGACACGCCGGGGACACGGTGGGGACACGCCGGGGACACGCCGGGGACACGGTGGGGACACGCCGGGGACACGGTGGGGACACGCCGGGGACACATCGGGGACACGCCGGGGACACGCCGGGGACACGCCGGGGACACGCCGGGGACACATCGGGGACACGGTGGGGACACATCGGGGACACGGTGGGGACACGGTGGGGACACGGTGGGGACACATCGGGGACACGGTGGGGACACGCCGGGGACACGCCGGGGACACGGTGGGGACACGCCGGGGACACGCCGGGGACACGGTGGGGACACGCCGGGGACACGCCGGGGACACGGCGGGGACACGCCGGGGACACGCCGGGGACACATCGGGGACACGCCGGGGACACGCCGGGGACACGCCGGGGACACGCCGGGGACACATCGGGGACACGGTGGGGACACATCGGGGACACGGTGGGGACACGGTGGGGACACGGTGGGGACACATCGGGGACACGGTGGGGACACGCCGGGGACACGCCGGGGACACGGTGGGGACACGGCGGGGACACGCCGGGGACACGGTGGGGACACGCCGGGGACACGCCGGGGACACGGCGGGGACACGCCGGGGACACGCCGGGGACACGGTGGGGACACGGTGGGGACACATCGGGGACACGCCGGGGACACGGTGGGGACACGCCGGGGACACGTCGGGGACACGGTGGGGACACATCGGGGACACATCGGGGACACGGTGGGGACACATCGGGGACACGCCGGGGACACGGTGGGGACACGTCGGGGACACGGTGGGGACACATCGAGGACACGCCGGGGACACGCCGGGGACACGGTGGGGACACATCGGGGACACATCGGGGACACGGTGGGGACACGCCGGGGACACATCGGGGACACGGTGGGGACACATCGGGGACACGCCGGGGACACATCGGGGACGCAGTGGGGACACATAGTTATGTATAAAAGACAAAATCGATCTGTGTGCTGATGTAGAAACTGCATGGTCTTATTTGTATCTTGGTTTTATGGAGATCATTGATAGACATGCACCCCTACGTACATTTAGAGTAAAGGGACGAGACAATCCTTGGTTTCCTGCTGAACTGTCCAGTCTTGTCTCTCTTTTAAACGTCATGTCAATAACCTGCTTAACAAACTGAGGGTTAGCTATGTAAACTGTAATCCCTGTAATGCTACTGTATGATGTCCTTTATGTTGTTCTGTTGTTTCATGTTTCATGTGGAACCTACTTGAGCAGGTCTCCCTTGAAAAAGAGATCAATAACCTCAATGGATTCACCTGGATAAATAAAGGTTTGAAATGAAATGAAATAAACACTTGTTTGTTACGTCTTTATTCCATCGTCCAGCCGTTAGCACGTCACACCTTCAATAAGAACTACAATGTACAAAACAATCTCAACCTTTGTTTACAAACCTGACCCTGAGGTTTAGAGTCAACAAGTCAACAAGATCCATGTAAACAAACAGTGAGTGTTGACTGAGGACCCAGAGCTCAGTTTATAACCTTAATGATAAAGTACACTTAGTTTACATTGTAATAACATCCCAGAATGCACCTTGTTGTATTTATATGTGTAAATAAAGGTTTGTTAGAAACTAAAGGAGACCGGTTAGAAAACCCAAAGTGTCAGAAATAATATCTTGCATTAAATCAGTTTTAAAGAAAAGAGATCATTTAAATAAATAATCCATCGTCATTTTTTATTTGACTCCATTTTGTTTCAGAACGTTTTACTAATTTCATAATAAATAATGACATTGGATTATCTTTCCACGGCTGCTGAGGCTCATGGGTAACGTAGTTCTCAGAGCCAATACTACAACTTTATTTATTTGTGAGTTTATTCAAAATGATTTTCTCAGAGCAGCTTTTCTGTTTCAGAGACAAGAAAACAGATGGCACATGTTCACACCTCAGAGAGGGGGGGGGGGGGGGGGTGAGAGGGGGGGGGGGGGTGTGTGTGTGAGTGTGAGTGTGAGTGGTGTGTGTGAGTGTGTGTGTGTGTGTGTGTGTGAGAGTGTGTGTGTGTGTGTGTGTGAGTGTGTGTGTGTGTGTGTGTGTGTGGAGTGTGTGTGTGTGTGTGTTCAGTCCAGAGCAGCGTGCAGCAGCGCTCCATGCCCTCCTGCCATCTTTGATTTCTTCATCTTCCCGATGGCCTTCTGAAGGTCGTCCTGATGGATCGGACGAATACAGTCTGAGTCACTGAGGGGAGAGAGACAGGTGAGAGACGACAGGTGAGAGACAGACAGGTGAGAGACAGACAGGGTGAGAGACAGACAGGTGAGAGACAGACAGGTGAGAGACAGACAGGTGAGAGAGAGACAGGTGAGAGACAGACAGGTGAGAGAGAGACAGGTGAGAGACAGACAGGTGAGAGAGAGACAGGTGAGAGACAGACAGGTGAGAGACAGACAGGTGAGAGACAGACAGGTAGAGACAGACAGGTGAGAGAGAGACAGGTGAGAGACAGACAGGTGAGAGACAGACAGGTGAGAGAGAGACAGGTGAGAGAGAGACAGGTGAGAGACAGGACAGGTGAGAGACAGACAGGTGAGAGACAGACAGGTGAGAGACAGACAGGTGAGAGACAGACAGGTGAGAGAGAGACAGGTGAGAGACAGACAGGTGAGAGAGAGACAGGTGAGAGACAGACAGGTGAGAGAGAGACAGGTGAGAGACAGACAGGTGAGAGACAGACAGGTGAGAGAGAGACAGGTGAGAGAGAGACAGGTGAGAGAGAGACAGGTGAGAGACAGACAGGTGAGAGAGAGACAGGTGAGAGAGAGACAGGTGAGAGACAGACAGGTGAGAGAGAGACAGGTGAGAGACAGACAGGTGAGAGACAGACAGGTGAGAGAGAGACAGGTGAGAGACAGACAGGTGAGAGACAGACAGGTGAGAGACAGACAGGTGAGAGACAGACAGGTGAGAGACAGACAGGTGAGAGACAGGTGAGAGAGAGACAGGTGAGAGACAGGTGAGAGAGAGACAGGTGAGAGAGAGACAGGTGAGAGAGAGACAGGTGAGAGACAGACAGGTGAGAGAGAGACAGGTGAGAGAGAGACAGGTGAGAGAGAGACAGGTGAGAGACAGGTGAGAGAGAGACAGGTGAGAGACAGACAGGTGAGAGACAGACAGGTGAGAGACAGACAGGTGAGAGAGAGACAGGTGAGAGACAGACAGGTGAGAGACAGACAGGTGAGAGAGAGACAGGTGAGAGACAGGTGAGAGAGAGACAGGTGAGAGAGAGACAGGTGAGAGAGAGACAGGTGAGAGACAGACAGGTGAGAGAGAGACAGGTGAGAGAAGAGAGACAGGTGAGAGAAGACAGGTGAGAGACAGACAGGTGAGAGAGAACAGGTGAGAGACAGACAGGTGAGAGACAGACAGGTGAGAGAGAGACAGGTGAGAGAGAGACAGGTGAGAGAGAGACAGGTGAGAGACAGACAGGTGAGAGACAGGTGAGAGACAGGTGAGAGACAGACAGGTGAGAGACAGGACAGGTGAGAGACAGACAGGTGAGAGACAGGTGAGAGACAGACAGGTGAGAGAGAGACAGGTGAGAGACAGACAGGTGAGAGACAGACAGGTGAGAGACAGACAGGTGAGAGAGAGACAGGTGAGAGACAGGTGAGAGAGAGACAGGTGAGAGACAGGTGAGAGAGAGACAGGTGAGAGACAGACAGGTGAGAGAGACAGGTGAGAGACAGACAGGTGAGAGACAGACAGGTGAGAGACAGACAGGTGTAGACGGTGGAAGCAGGGAGAGGCATATACGTGCCTTGATCCCTGCGCGTCGACGCACAACTGTTGAATGGTGTCAGTGCCAGAAACACGTTTTAGGAGCAATGCGCTCACGGGTTAGATGTGACTTCTTAGTTCCTACTCCTTTCCCTCACCCTATCCTAAGGGAGTGCATGCACGTAGACACGTTAGTTTAGCTGCTATAGGCTTAGACTGTCGGGGGACACCTTACTCCTTTCTCTCTCTCTGTACCTGTGTACTCTCATGTTCCCAATAACACAGCTTCCCACATTTATTTTTGGTGTCTATCTACGGCGGGATCCTGAGTCGTGTCTGAACCTGTCTCTGTGGTCCTGCCTGACTCTCGTCATGCTGCTTCCCTGATGGCTCCCACAGGATTGTTGACATCCTCGTTGATTCATCTTCTTCTTATAGACAGCAAGCATTTCCAAACATTTGGAATCGAAACGGGAGTCGATAAGAACCGGAGTCGATAAGAACCGGAGTCGATAAGAACCGGAATCGATAAGAACCGGAGTCGATAAGAACCGGAGTCGATAAGAACCGGAATCGATAAGAACCGGAGTCGATAAGAACCGGAGTCGATAAGAACCGGAGTCGATAAGAACCGGAATCGATAAGAACCGGAGTCGATAAGAACCGGAGTCGATAAGAACCGGAGTCGATAAGAACCGGAATCGATAAGAACCGGAGTCGATAAGAACCGGAGTCGATAAGAACCGGAATCGATAAGAACCGGAATCGATAAGAACCGGAGAGTCGATAGAGAACCGGAGTCGATAAGAACCGGAATCGATAAGAACCGGAATCGATAAGACCGGTAGTCGATAAGAACCGGAATCGGAGTCGATAAGAACCGGAGTCGATAAGAACCGGAGTCGATAAGAACCGGAATCGATAAGAACCGGAGTCGATAAGAACCGGAATCGATAAGAACCGGAGTCGATAAGAACCGGAATCGATAAGAACCGGAGTCGATAAGAACCGGAGTCGATAAGAATCGGAGTCGATAAGAACCGGAGTCGATAAGAACCGGAGTCGATAAGAACCGGAGTCGATAAGAACCGGAATCGGAGTCGATAAGAACCGGAGTCGATAAGAACCGGAATCGATAAGAACCGGAATCGATAAGAACCGGAGTCGATAAGAACCGGAATCGGAGTCGATAAGAACCGGAGTCGATAAGAACCGGAGTCGATAAGAACCGGAGTCGATAAGAACCGGAGTCGATAAGAACCGGAATCGATAAGAACCGGAGTCGATAAGAACCGGAATCGATAAGAACCGGAATCGATAAGAACCGGAATCGGAGTCGATAAGAACCGGAGTCGATAAGAATCGGTAGTCGATAAGAACCGGAGTCGATAAGAACCGGAGTCGATAAGAACTCGGAATCGATAAGGAACCGGGAATCGATAAGAACCGGAGTCGATAAGAACCGGAGTCGATAAGAATCGGAGTCGATAAGATCGGAATCGATAAGAAACCGGAATCGATAAGAACCGGAGTCGATAAGAACCGGAGTCGATAAGAACCGAGTCGATAAGAAACCGGAGTCGATAAGAACCGGAGTCGATAAGAACCGGAATCGGAGTCGATAAGAACGCGGAATTGATAAGAACCGGGTAGTCGAGTAAGATACCGGAGTCGTAAAGAATCGGAGTCGAGTCAAGAACCGGAGTCGATAAGAACCGGAGTCGATAAGAACCGGAATCTATAAGAACCGAATCGAGCGATAAGAACCGGAGTCGATAAGAACCGGAGTCGATAAGAACCGGAATCGGAGTCGATAAGAACCGGAGTCGATAAGAATCGGAGTCGATAAGAAACCGGAGTCGATAAGAACCGGAATCTATAAGAACCGGAATCGATAAGAACCGGAGTCGATAAGAACCGGAGTCGATAAGAACCGGAGTCGATAAGAACCGGAGTCGATAAGAATCGGAATCGATAAGAACCGGAGTCGATAAGAACCGGAGTCGATAAGAACCGGAATCGGAGTCGATAAGAACCGGAATTGATAAGAACCGGAGTCGATAAGAACCGGAGTCGATAAGAATCGGAGTCGATAAGAACCGGAGTCGATAAGAACCGGAGTCGATAAGAACCGGAATCTATAAGAACCGGAATCGGAGTCGATAAGAACCGGAGTCGATAAGAACCGGAGTCGATAAGAACCGGAATCGGAGTCGATAAGAACCGGAGTCGATAAGAATCGGAGTCGATAAGAACCGGAGTCGATAAGAACCGGAATCTATAAGAACCGGAATCGATAAGAACCGGAGATAAGAACCGGAGTCGATAAGAACCGGAGTCGATAAGAACCGGAGTCGATAAGAACCGGAGTCGATAAGAACCGGAATCGATAAGAACCGGAATCGGAGTCGATAAGAACCGGAGTCGATAAGAACCGGAATCGATAAGAACCGGAATCGATAAGAACCGGAGTCGATAAGAACCGGAGTCGATAAGAACCGGAGTCGATAAGAACCGGAGTCGATAAGAACCGGAATCGATAAGAACCGGAATCGGAGTCGATAAGAACCGGAGTCGATAAGAATCGGAGTCGATAAGAACCGGAGTCGATAAGAACCGGAGTCGATAAGAACCGGAATCGATAAGAACCGGAATCGATACGAACCGGAGTCGATAAGAACCGGAGTCGATAAGAATCGGAGTCGATAAGAATCGGAATCGATAAGAACCGGAATCGATAAGAACCGGAGTCGATAAGAACCGGAGTCGATAAGAACCGGAGTCGATAGAACCGGAGTCGATAAGAACCGGAATCGATAAGAACCGGAGTCGTAAGAATCGAATCGATAAGAACCGGAGTCGATAAGAACCGGAGTCGATAAGAACCGGAGTCGATAAGAACCGGAGTCGATAAGAACCGGAATCGATAAGAACCGGAATCGATACGAACCGGAGTCGATAAGAACCGGAGTCGATAAGAATCGGAGTCGATAAGAATCGGAATCGATAAGAACCGGAATCGATAAGAACCGGAGTCGATAAACCGGAGTCGATAGAACCGATCGATAAGAACCGGAGTCGATAAGAACCGAATCGATAAGAACCGGAGTCGATAAGAATCGGAATCGATAAGAACCGGAGTCGATAAGAACCGGAGTCGATAAGAACCGGAGTCGATAAGAACCGGATCTATAGAACCGGAGTCGATAAGAATCGGAGTCGATAAGAACCGGAATCGATAAGAACCGGAGGAGTCGATAAGAACCGGAGTCGATAAGAAACCGGAATCGTATAAGAACCGGAGTCGATAAGAACCGGAGTCGATAAGAACCGGAGTCGATAAGAACCGGAGTCGATAAGAACCGGAATCTATAAGAACCGGAGTCGATAAGAATCGGAGTCGATAAGAACCGGAGTCGATAAGAACCGGAGTCGATAAGAACCGGAATCTATAAGAACCGGAGTCGATAAGAACCGGAGTCGATAAGAACCGGAGTCGATAAGAACCGGAATCGATAAGAA